GACCTAGCTAGGATGTTTCCCATCCTTCTCTAGCCTTTCTCCCCTAGGACTCAACCTTCTCTGAGTTCCCAGGATGGTCCCAACCCCTTAAGAGTCCCCTTAATGAAACTACAAGTTTTCAGCCGAGCTTACGTTTTTGTTCACTGCGTAGCGCATACACCTCTGATGAAAGCAAGCAATATACCGTTGGAAAGCAGATACCTGAAGCTAAGTTCTCTCCAAGTTTCAGCCTCGTATGTTATTGGAGCTAATCGTAACGGCGTTTTGAACAGAGGCAGTTCGAAGTCATCAGATTCTGCTTAGGCTGTTTCAAGGGCATCCACGACCCCTAAGTGGACTCTAGACTATAACATTGTTCTCCCCTAGTTTGCCTATGGGGGTGTGTCAAAATGTTATATAACTTACTTTGTGTAGGCTATAGTAGGGTAGCCCATAAGGGGTACAACCCAATTAGGGTTAGTACTTGTACCCAACTTCTGCTCAACGCAATTCATTCTCGTTCTAGTTTCTAACACGCCTCTCCGCATCGTTTCGGCCTGCTCCGGGGTTTCGTCGGCCATGTACTGCAGATATCTCTGAATCCTCCATCCAGAAACACGGGGCCCGTGGAGATGAACTTCCTCGGTTTTCACAGCTGACCACTCCGCCTTTCTGTCGTCCCCCGAATGGCTTCCAGCCTCGTCTTATGTCCTTAGACGCTCCTCCACCGGAACCTCAGCCTTGGGCAGCGTTTGCATGAACAGAATGACCCACCACTTGTAGTGCTGCCAATACAGGATGTAATATTTCCTGGTTCTCGGCGCGAGATAATCAATAGGGATCTTTACGCAGCGAATCCTGCTGTCCACGTCGGCCTGTTTCCGTACTGACTCATGCGTAGCTGATGCTGGCCCATCTGCGGTTCCCTGAGGCGCAGCCTGTGATTCTTGCCCCTCTGCATTTCCCTTGGGCGCAGCCTGTGGTTCTTGCCCCTTTGCATTTCTCTGGGGCGCAGCCTGCGATTCGAGCCCATGTGCATTTCCAACTGGCGATGCCTGTGATTCTGGGCCGTGGCCATTGCCTCGGGCCGCCTCCCCAAAAAGTCTTCGACTGGTAGTGTTTTCTTCAGAGGTTGGACTGCGGCTAGCATTTTCCTCCCAACTCTCCTCCCACGCCGCCCTGTGCTCATCGTTGTCATCGTCTCCGAGGTTAATCCACACCCCCGAACGCCTTTCTCCCCTCGGATTTGCGCCCTCAGCCACATTTCCCTCGACCCCGACAGGAGGGTTCGAAGCCGGAAATTCTTGTGGAGCATCCACGAACACTTCTCCCGCCACTGCTCGTGCAAATTCCTCGTCCCAATCTTGGTCCTCGGTTAGATCTGTCGGGGCATGCGGCAGTTGGCTGTCTTCGATATAAAAAATCTGCTCATTGTCCACGAAATCTGTCCTGAATCGCTTTGTTAGATACGTGAAATCTATACCGTCGCGTAGAGAATGAGATGGACTGCCAGCGAACCCAAGAGTAGATGAGAATGCAGTGCTGAAAAGAGTCTCGCGTGCGGAGTTTTTTCGGGAACATAAAACTATGAATGTGGCCCCCTGGCGTCGAATAGAGTGCTGATATGAAATTAATGTTTTTTCAGAGTTGTTTTGAAGCTCGAAAATACCTACACCTGTCAGAGTTTTGTTGTTCCTTTAAAATACCGATGTTGTTCATATTACTAAAAATATCACGGAGACGAGTACGTGTGTGTGCATTTCGGAACGACGCAATGTATCATGCCATGTTGTGTTATAGGTACGAAAGCATGCATGGCTGATGAACTCAAGAAAAATGTGTTGAACCTTCAAGAAGCAATCAGGGAAATTGCATACATCTGAGCCCTTTTGAAGCATTTTGGGGCTCAGCCACAAGAGCACGAGTTCCACAATCTCTGACTGCATCCTCTCTTCCCGCCACAATTTTTCTAAATCTGGTCGCCACACCCCAGATCTGGTGTTCTTCCCGCTCGTGCCTGAGCACCCGGTTGGCTCCTCCACACTTGCGTAACTCTGAGCCACACCCCTCCCGCAGAGACGAGAGTGGCTCGGCCACGTGGATCACTATTGGCGCGCAATAGAAAAAAAAAAAACAATACACCCGATTTTCTAAATGATCCCACAGCACGGGTTGTGGCCATGTTCGAGTTTATATAAAACAGTCTTATATTGGATTTGCAGCTTTTACGAAACTAGTAAAAGCACTATGTCGCGATCGAAAAATCAACCAAATTTTTGTTTTCTAGTGGTACCTAAACTGTTGCACGTTTCCAGATTCCGGTTGCCATTGTGCTTGAAAAAACTGTTCTACAGACGGTTGGACTTGTAGAGTGTAAAACGGTGTGCAGATAAACAAATTTCACCCTAAACATATTTCAAACACGAACCCAGTATCAAGATTCTCGATACCGAAGTTTTTGCAAAGTGGTTGCGACGTGGTCGCGCAGATCACGTCGCAACCGTTTGCGCGAAAGGCGCACGTCAATTTGACGGCTGCACCTTGACGCTGGCGAGAGCACGTGCCTCGCTAGCTACACTTCACGCACGAATCTGTTCGGGCAGAGAACTGGTTCACGGGCAGGCCGAGCCTAGCCCGTGGGGCGGTGGGGTTTGTCTTGCTCGGCGCAAGCTTGCGCCGCTTCCGCGTGGGTCTAGGCGAGCTCAACCAGACGAGCTCGACCTGCCTTTTTCCTCTGGCAAATCCGCTCGACCTGCGCCCACGACTACATAGCTTCCCCCAAATAGCGGTGAAGTTCCCCGAAAAGCGCAGAGACGACAGTATTTGTCCCTCCTTATCTGAAAACCCTTCCAAACCCCTTCATTTGTGCTCTCGAATCCGCTGAAGCACGTTGACGTCCATGGCACTTCACATCGCATCACCGCCACATGAGAGTCGCTAGGTGGGTGCAGGTTCGGTTAGGGTCTGACAGGGAAGTGTCGATTCGAGGTCTGCGAGGGCACGGACCGAAAGTTACGACATGGTTCGGAGCCGGTAGGCCCAGTGAGGCGTTGTTGGTTCCCTTACCAGCCTCGTTCATGAATTTGTTTACTGCTCCACGCCACGCTATCTCGCATCGCATGTCCAAGAAGGTAGAGTCGAGCCGCCTGTTGCATTTCAGAGTCAGGCAGGAGTCACATCGTTTCCCTAGTACGTACAGTATTTTGACACAATATACCATTGTTTGGTTTCCCGAATTTAGGCTAGACTTGACACCTTTTAATAGAGAACCCAGTCCCGCCAGGGAGTACATTCTCTTTGCTGGAAACTGATGGCATGCTTAAAAGTCCAAGCGCAAACGGCGTCTCACTTACTAAAGAATGTTGTGCAACCACAAACGGTGTCCAAACTTCGCAAGGTGTTGGTCCTACTTCAGAGTGCATTTTAATTTGGAGTGCTTGTGAGGTTTGACGTGGCTGAAATGTGGGCGCGAGCGTTGTTGCACTTCCTTCCCCCCAACCACATTCTCCTTTCCTGAATTGTTGAGGGAGGAGTGCTGAGCGGAAAATGGTAGGCAGTTCTCTCCCAACTTGCCCACAGACCTCAGTTCTCCACCACTCACTGAATATCGCACAGAATTAGACCACGCGAGGAAACCACATATGTGTAGACACCTCCGATTCGTCGGTGGTGCACGTGTATTCCGTCCGTACGATCCAGCTGGCATGCGGCGTGGTGTGTGCCGAACGAGGCATATTTCTCGTCCCAACGCCCACCTTCCAGAATCTCTAGAAACCAGCTTGCCGTCAGGAGTTCTCCAAGACGCCTTTACATACTGTTCCTCAACCGTCCTTCGGCATTCGCTGTGCTGTTCTGCACGTCATTTTGTACAACAACCGCCGAAGGAGGCCCCAACGAGCATACCCACACTCTGTACAGTATCCCACATGACGTTCGGGACAACAGCGTCGGAGAAAGTACTCGGTGATCTTCGAGCTTTGCGAAAGAGCAGCAGCTGCTTGGCGACTCGACAATCACACCGGGCCATTCAACCGTCGCCCTACTGTACTAAGAGTATTTGGTAGAGAGATTACAGTGCCTTTGGAACACCTAGGCAGAGCTTCAGCTCATGTAAATACAGATCGGTAGACGCAACGGTTTTTTAGACTATTTTTTTCTCGACAGGCATGGCGACGACTCAGAGCGCTCCTACTACTAGCAGCACCAGCAGCAGTAGTTGCAGTACGAGTCCCAGCGTGAGTAGTAGGAGTCCCAGCGTTACATCGATTCCTCGTGTGATGCGGCCTTTTCGCGGCGCGGGTCATCGAACCGCGAACACCCTCCTCGGCCCCCTCCTCCCCGTGTTGCTTTTCGCTGTCGCCACCAGCGACCCCGTCCAACGCGGCGGCCCTCGCGGCGGCGATTTCGGCGTTCGAAGGACGGCGAAAACGTGGCGAGTGCCGCAGCAATTCCTCGAGCTGCGAAACATTACGCAAGCCGTTACGGTGTTACGCGAACAGTATACAGCGGCGGCGTCTCGCGAAGGCAACAAGGCGGGAGGAGCAGGGGGAAACGGAGGGGGCGGAGGAGAAACTGCTGCTCTTGGAGCGAACGGCGCGAGCGAAAGTAACAATAGGGTTGGGGTTACCGCTTTCGCGAATGTCGTACCAAAAGAAACGGACCCGAATGCGCCGTATACTGTGTTCGAAGTGGCGAGACCGATTGTGCGGCCGCAAGGCGCCGTGGAGTGTACAGTAACACTGTTCACTGAAGAACCTTTTGCATCTACAGTTGGTAACCCGCCGACGCAAACTTCGTACACCCCCGACCCGAACTGCGCCTCGGTGAGTAGGACTGTACGCGGTATAATGCGGAAGAAGGCTTGAATACCCGATGCGAGGCTGGCAGGTGAATGCTTGGATGTGGAGAAACTGGCGCGCGTTCGTCCGTTTTAATCGTTGTGCCATGTGTCGCAGGCGGATTGGTCGTTGGCTGTGCTGTCGGTGGGCGTAAAGGTGAAAGGCACACAGTTCGACCGGCGCATGGTCATTTTCTTCGGCGGTTTCGAGGTTTCCAGATCAATGTGAGTATTCTCTGATGGATAACCTGTGATTTTCCATGTGAGTGCAGCTGAGTGTTAATACGTCACATGTGAGTGCCATGATGCATGCACCTCGAAAGACGGGTGATCATTTACTGTTCTTCGTGCGTCCGAGTCTCTGATTTCCCTCTTTATCACCCTTCCCATCTCAGCCAACCTTCCTTCCCCCATCCCCCCCTATCCTCTCGCATTCTCCCATCTCCCCCCCTCCCCCATCGCCCCCCATAGCCACCCCATCTCACCCTGTTACATTGTCCGCCCTATTGTGTGATTCTTTAACAGCACGGCGGAGCCACTGGGCACGGAGATTCACTACTCGTTTGAGCGAGACGTTACCAATTATGCACCCATGCTTAAAACCGTGAGTTCAAAACAGCCACATCCTTTTCTTCTCCTCGTCTCATCCTCCTCTTCACTCCTTCGCTCAACTCTTTCCTCTCCGTTCCTCCACACTCCTCCTCTCCTCCTCTTTTCCTTCTTCTTTCCTCCTCTCTTTTTCCTCTCCTCCCTTCTCCTCCTATCCTCTTCCTCTCCTGTCCTCCTCTCGTCCTCCCCTCCTCCTTGTCCCCCAGATTTACTCCTAACTCTTCTCGGTATCTCCCCCCATGCCTAGTGTCAACCCGTGCTACCCCATCCCATCCCATCCCATCCCATCCCATCCCATCCCATCCCATCCCATCCCATCACATGACATGACAACCATCCCATGAATCTCCCTCCTCCCCCATTTTCCCCCACTTCCCACCTTCCCACCCTCCACCCCTCCAGGCGTCCACTGTCTATGTGATTCTAGAGAACGTCGTTGACGGCGAATACACCGGCATTTTCAAACATCCCATGAAACTCCCCTCCTCCGCACTTTCCCCCACTGCCTCCCTCCCACCCTCCTCCCCCTCCAGGCGTCCACTGTCTATGTGATTCTAGAGAACGTCGTTGACGGTGAATACACCGGCATTTTCAACATCACCATCTCCCCATATTCCCCCTTTCCCACCCTCCACCCCTCCAGGCCTCCACTGTCTATGTGATTCTAGAGAATGTCGTCGACGGCGAATACACTGGCATTTTCAACGTCACCATTTCCCTCACAACCTACCAAGGAACACCTCCCACCACCCCCCCTTCCCTCCTCCTCCCTTTCTCCACCACCTCCTCTTCCTCCTCCTCCCCTTACATCCTTTCTGGAGCCTCCGCCACTACTCGTAGTGCTATACAATCACTCTCCGGCCTTCCAACAAATGTGATTAAAGCGAAGGTGGAGCTTACTATATCAATGCACGCGGACGACGAGTTTTATTACCTTTATTTCCCAAATAAATTCTACAATAGCCTTCCTAGCTCCTTAAAGCCCAAATTCAAGCCGGAAGGCGGTCCCTTTCGCGAGCTAAACCTTTTCATCGACGACCGATTTGCCGGGGCAATTTACCCTTTCGTCCCCCTTTACACCGGCGCGTTCAACCCACTGCTGTGGTCACCCGCTGTGGGAATCGGGAATTTCGGCTTCCCCACAGTTACCCTCGACGTGACCCCGTTCGCAGGGGTTTTATCCGACGGGCAGCCGCACGAAATTAGGGTTTCGGTGGTGAATGCAAAGCCCGGAGCCGCATGGTACCTAACCGGAATCGTGCACATTTGGGCAGATTCCGGAGTGACTTCTACTGCTGGGCCCCCACCCACCATCAGAGTGGCTCCCAGCAGGAGGAAGGAGAGAGTGAAGCTGTTTGAAAGCCCGGTGGTGCGAGCGCTGCGGCTGATGGGAGTGCGGCTGAGCATCGACGGCAAGTACAGCACGGTTGCTGCGCGTGACTACTCCATCTCAGGTTAGTGTGTGTGGTGGTGCTGTTATATGGTAACCGGGTGCGATGGTGCAAGCGCTGCGGCTGATGGGAGTGCGGCTGAGCATCGATGGCAAGTACAGCACGGTTGCTGCGCGTGACTACTCCATCGCAGTGTAACCAAGTAATGATGGAAACATCATTGCCATTCACACTTGTGTCTGCTACTCACTTCCATACCCCCCTCTACAATCACACCCCCCTGTTACTAGATCAAACCAACCACAGTAACCACTGCTGATGGCCCGGTCAACACTCTGGTTGGATCCCCCCTCAGTGGATTCAGCAGGAGGTGGTGCAGGGAAGGGGGGATGGCAACCACCTGATGGAACAACATCAGCACTCATACTTGTGTCTGCCACTCACTTCCATTACCCCCTCTACAATCACATCCCCCTGTTGCTGTCACACCAGGCATGGTTACCACAGCTGACGGCCTGGTTACCACAGCTGACGGCCCGGTTACCACTCTGGTCACGTCCTCCCTGTCAGTGGATGCAGCAGCAATGGTGCAGGGAGGAGGGGCTGCAATTACCTGGTGGAGCTACTTGGGTGGCAAGTCTTGTGACGGCTAATTACCTCCATACACCCTCCCACCCCACGAAACCCCCCATCAGGCACCGTAACCACAGCTGACGGCCCGGTTACCACGCTGGTCACATCATCCCTTTCAGTGGATGCAGCAGCAATGGTGCAGGGAGGGGGGGTGGCCATCACCTGGTGGAACAACGTGGGCGTTAGGACGACTGTGACCGCCACACATGGAACGACCAGGGCTGTGCTATCTTCCCAGACTGACACCTTCTCGTTCCCACTTCGCATCAAGCAAGCTTCTTCTGATTGTAAGACATTCGGGTTTTCTGAATGGGGGTGACTACAACCACAACTTGTGTTGGGCAGGGGGGAAGTGGGGGGGAGAGGGAGGAATGGGAGGGAATAAGCTGGTGATGGTGGGGCAGGGACGAAGGGGGTGATAAACTGGTGGACTTTAGAGTTAACTCACAAGTCAGCAGGGAGGAAGAGGGTGATAAACTGGTGGACTTTAGAGTTAACTCACAAGTCAGCAGGGAGGAAGAGGGTGATAAACTGGTGGACTTTAGAGTTAACTCACAAGTCAGCAGGGAGGAAGAGGGTGATAACCTGGTGGACTTTAGAGTTAACTCACAAGTCAGCAGGGAGGAAGAGGGTGATAAACTGGTGGACTTTAGAGTTAACTCACAAGTCAGCAGGGAGGAAGAGGGTGATAAACTGGTGGACTTTAGAGTTAACTCACAAGTCAGCAGGGAGGAAGAGGGTGATAAACTGGTGGACTTTAGAGTTAACTCACAAGTCAGCAGGGAGGAAGAGGGTGATAAACTGGTGGACTTTAGAGTTAACTCACAAGTCAGCAGGGAGGAAGAGGGTGATAAACTGGTGGACTTTAGAGTTAACTCACAAGTCAGCAGGGAGGAAGAGGGTGATAAACTGGTGGACTTTAGAGTTAACTCACAAGTCAGCAGGGAGGAAGAGGGTGATAACCTGGTGGACTTTAGAGTTAACTCACAAGTCAGCAGGGAGGAAGAGGGTGATAAACTGGTGGACTTTAGAGTTAACTCACAAGTCAGCAGGGAGGAAGAGGGTGATAAACTGGTGGACTTTAGAGTTAACTCACAAGTCAGCAGGGAGGAAGAGGGTGATAACCTGGTGGACTTTAGAGTTAACTCACAAGTCAGCAGGGAGGAAGAGGGTGATAAACTGGTGGACTTTAGAGTTAACTCACAAGTCAGCAGGGAGGAAGAGGGTGATAAACTGGTGGACTTTAGAGTTAACTCACAAGTCAGCAGGGAGGAAGAGGGTGATAACCTGGTGGACTTTAGAGTTAACTCACAACTCAGCAGGGAGGAAGAGGGTGATAAACTGGTGGACTTTAGAGTTAACTCACAAGTCAGCAGGGAGGAAGAGGGTGATAAACTGGTGGACTTTAGAGTTAACTCACAAGTCAGCAGGGAGGAAGAGGGTGATAACCTGGTGGACTTTAGAGTTAACTCACAAGTCAGCAGGGAGGAAGAGGGTGATAAACTGGTGGACTTTAGAGTTAACTCACAAGTCAGCAGGGAGGAAGAGGGTGATAACCTGGTGGACTTTAGAGTTAACTCACAAGTCAGCAGGGAGGAAGAGGGTGATAACCTGGTGGACTTTAGAGTTAACTCACAAGTCAGCAGGGAGGAAGAGGGTGATAACCTGGTGGACTTTAGAGTTAACTCACAAGTCAGCAGGGAGGAAGAGGGTGATAACCTGGTGGACTTTAGAGTTAACTCACAAGTCAGCAGGGAGGAAGAGGGTGATAACCTGGTGGACTTTAGAGTTAACTCACAAGTCAGCAGGGAGGAAGAGGGTGATAACCTGGTGGACTTTAGAGTTAACTCACAAGTCAGCAGGGAGGAAGAGGGTGATAACCTGGTGGACTTTAGAGTTAACTCACAAGTCAGCAGGGAGGAAGAGGGTGATAACCTGGTGGACTTTAGAGTTAACTCACAAGTCAGCAGGGAGGAAGAGGGTGATAACCTGGTGGAACAACGTGGGGTCCAAGACGAGACGACTGTGACTGCCACCACACATGGAACGACCAGGGCTGTGCTGTCCTTCCAGACGATTGCATCCACTGACACCCTTCTCGTTCCCACTCCGCATCAAACAAACTTCTTCTGACTGTGAGTCATGGGGTTTCCTTCAAAAGGTGCAAGTAAGCACAATCACAGTTGCTGGTGGGGTAGGTGGGGTGTTTGGGCAAACGATTGGTGGTGGGGCAAGAGGTGGGGCGACAATCACCAGGTGGACCATGGAACAACGTGGGCGTTTAGGCGACTGTGATCGCCACACATGAAACGACCAGAGCTGTGACTGGGCCCAGACTGACACGTTTTCGTATGCCGTTATCCCATCATGCAGCATATGGATCGGGCAAGTTTGACATTGACAGTGGATACAACCACAAGTCGACAAATTCTCCATCTACATCATCCTCCTCGTCAGCGATATCATCATCCTCGTCAACGATATCATCATCCTCGTCATCATCAGTATCACCATCCATATCTGCATCAGCATCACCAACATCATCTACGCCATTATCCTCCTCAGCACCAACTGCAACCAGCTTGCAGAACTCGCGGAAAGATTCGTTTAGTGTACAGGTGGACTCGAAAGGGAATGTGATTGGTTCGTCCACTTCTGGTAGCCAGAAGTATGCGTATAAGTGTAGCCCGGGCACTAGTGGGTGCTACTTGAGACAGATCAAGACGCGGCCGATTGAGGTGCTTCATAATAAAGAACTGACTAGCTGCTGACTAGTGTACCAGGACCAGGGTCCTCGACATCAGACATTTTTGTCTGTTTGTCTTAGTTTCCAGACGATTTTTTTCCAGTTAATCTGATTTTCAAGGAATGATTTATTTTTTCATCTGATTGAGTAGAAATGAATTTTTGTCTTCATCTGATTCATCAGAAATGTAATATATGTTTCGTCTGAAATCGAAACATGTTAGGGTACATTCCTGCGGGGACACTTGTGTCTCAATCCCCGTTTTCCCGAGTCGCGCCTGTAAATTTGCCAAATGTTGTGTCAGGACGAGTTTTCTATGATTGGATGAACATGTTGCGCTCTGACGTCGCGAATCTGCCGTGTCAGAGCAAATTTGCTCTGATTGGGCGAATATTTTGTGCTCTGACAGGGCGAATCTGCCATGTTAGGGTGATTTTGCTGAGACCAGTGAAGTGCGAATCACACCAGTTTGTACAGCGAATGAATGTGAAAGGTCCAGAAAAGTCAGACTCACCTTGTTATCCCACGTGCATCTACACGCTAGAAACTCTATTTTAATTGGTCAGACAAGTTCTTTTGAAATTTCTGATGCATCAGACACGCAAAGGCGAAATATCTGATGCATCAGACGGGCCCGAAGGGCCCGTCTGACGCATCAGGGGGGTTCAAATCCTAGCGAGGACCCTGACCAGGACCTTGTGAAGATATAGGTATATGAGGAAGGTCGTCGTGGTGTATGTAGCGTATCACATTTTATGCCAATATAATCGTTTAGTAGTGTTCCAACATTGCACATTTCCCCCCAAACAACCACCTTACTTCCTCAACTCGACTGCTAGTTCCTCCTCTAGTTGCTCCACTTTTCACGATCCACCTCCCACTTGTTCGGAAACATGCCCATGAGCCGCCCAGAAGACTGCTGATACGCGTACATGAATCCCCCCATCAGCCCGAGAATCCCGGCACAATACATGCTGGGTCCCCTCAGGTTGGCACTTCCACCTGATGCAGTGAGGAAGGGGGATGGGTGGAACACAAGAGACACATGAAATGTGTATTGCTGCTGGTATGCGTACATGAATCCCCCGTCAGCCCGAGAATACCAGCACAGTACATGCTGGGACCCCACAGGTTGGCACTTCCACCTGATGCAGTGGGGAAGGGGAAGGCGTGAAACACAAGAGACGGGTGGGGAAGGTGTGACATAGGGAATGTAGATGCCTGCTGGTAAGCGTACATGAATCCAACCATCAGCCCAAGTATGCCGGCACAGTACATGCTGGGACCCCTCCTCCTGATGCAGTGGGGAAGCGGGATGGGCGGAACACAAGAGACAGGTACGGTAAGGTGAGATAGAGAATGAAGATGCCTGCTGGTAAGCGTACATGAATCCCCCCATCAGCCCAAGTATGCTGGCATAGCACATGTTGGGGCTTCTTAGGTTGGCACGGAACGAGACGGGAGTGACACCTGATGGAGTGGGAAGGTGGGGGACGTGTCAGTAACGGACACGTGGGCTGCGGAGGCTTTTGAGTCGACTCAGAAGTCAATTCGGCTTTACTTCCATCAAACTCTTGTTGTTTTAGGACAGAAACGAAACTCAGCTTGGCACGAAACGAGATGGGGGTGACACCTGATGGAGTGGGAAGGTGGGGGAAAGCACGGGAGACGGTTAAGAGGAGGACGAGTTATAGTCAGACCCGGTATAAGTGCTCATTGGCATGAGTGTACATGAATTACGACCGCTGGTATACATATTACCTTAATCCGAGAGGCGTTAATGCGAGGTAGGCGAATGGTAGAGAAACCGTGGTGAAGGTGGAGAGGCGAGGCTCCATGGGGAACGGTATTCGCTATTTTAAATCGCTGAGCTCAATATGATAGACGCCGAATACCTTAAACGTACGTAAGTAACTGCAAAGCAGGAACGCACTTGCTAATCAATGACGCGTCTCGTTGTGTGATGCATCTGCAATACCAGTCAGGTCGGCTTTTGACTCAGAAGCAATACCAGTCAGGTCGGCTTTTGACTCAGAAGCAATACCAGTCAGGTCGGCGACGTACCTGCGAGGTAGCCGAACGGTAGCGACACGGCGGTGAACGTGGCGACGTTTTTGTAGTCGCTGAACGTGAAGTTACCAACCGTGCGACCGAACGACGGCGTGCGATCGATCACCGGGAACTTGGGCTCGTCCAGAAAGATCCCCATCGCGTCGCTTGGTGTCGCCTGGTGTCGCCTGGTGTCGCTGCGTCGCTGATCGTCTTCGTCTAAAGGATCGCGTGAAGGAGGCCCGACGAGGCTACGTGAACGTGTAGGGGTGAAAACGTTACGAGCGGATTCGTCCAGGTGGATTGACGGATTCGGTGGTGGATTTGACGGTGATGGCAACGACGTGAGTGCGGCGGCCGAGAGAGGGGGACGAAAACGAAAGTCTAGAAAGGAAGGCGGTCGGGTCGCGAAACCGTTGCACCCTCCTAATCTGCGTTCCAAGGCGGCTGGAAGAGGTAAGGCGCTCCTCAGTCCTATCTGATGTGAAGGTTCTCTTGAGATTAGAATTAGGGTTACAGTATCGGGGGGGAGTGTGGCGTGTTCGTAAACGCGATACAGATAACACCGCAATAGGCCATTCTAGTTATATTGCAAAAATTGCTAGCACCAATTAAATACAGAAGAGCTGTCAAACTACTGAATCTTTGCGGGGTCAGCAATGCTATGATGTAACCAATCGATGGGCAATATAAGGAAAAGATGGAATGAGCATGACAATACGTACACAACTCAGCAAAAATCTGCAGCAGTACTCAGTGGCTTAGTTCAACATGGAACACATTCTACAACTTAGTTAAACATTCAACAACACCATGTGTAACAATCTATCTAGTCGCAAGTCATGACCCATGATGACTCTCGGTGACGGGCCTTTTTACCAGCACACGTTAACTGTCAACACTTCTTGGGTTATCAATGTCATTCCAGTCCACACTGGTGTACTCATGCTTAGAACCATTCGTTCTATTGCTGGTTACGAAGCAGCGGTAACCGCCATACCAATCTTCATCTCATTGTTACTAGTCTCCCGCTCCGCCTGCTTCCCCTGCTGTGGTTGCTGCAGCTGCTGCACCATCCCATTTCGCGACTCGGTGGTAAAATTCGGCTTATTCACACTAGCATTCCCATCCTTACCACCCTCCCTCAACCCCTCACCTCCATCCCTACCCATCATATCCACATCAGCTGATCGCCCTGTTCTAGGCGGTTGCATCTGCTGCTGTGCTGGCTCCACCTGAGATTGCACCGGTTGCTGCTGCTGCTGCTGCTGGTGCCGTGACAGTTGGTTAGGGTTCGTCTGCTGCTGCATTCCTGCTGCATGCCCTGCTACCAGTGCCTGCTGTGGCCCTGCCCTTGCCTCAATCCCACCCTGCTGCTGCTGCTGCTGTAGCAGGGGCGAGGTCTCCACACCTTCATCCTTGGGTATCATCTGTCTGTTAGTTTCCTGAGTGAAAGACTGCTGCTTAACATGCCCATGCCCATACACATGCCCATGTGCGTGCGAAATTCCTTGTGCCACCACCCCTTGCTGACCCTGCCCCTGAACCTGCCCCCCCTGCCCCTGCCCCATCTGCCCTTGATTCCCCTGATTCCCCTGCCCCTGCCCCTGTCCCCCTTGCCCCTGTCCCCCCTGCCCCTGCCCTCCCCCCATTGGTGGCAGGGGCGGAGGGGGAAGCTCAGGGGCGGGGATGGGGGTCAGCTGGGGGGAGAGGGCGGAGGGGGCGGGGTTGGCGAGGGGGGCTCGCACATAGAGCTGGCCGTGTAGGGTTACCACTGCTGACGTCTGATTTGCGTTGATGGCTGCAGGCAGCAGAATCACCTGCAATGAGGGGGGAAGGGGGGAGGAGGAGAAGGGCAGCAGAAGGGGGAAAAGGAGTTGGGGTGAGTTAGGGCTCGGGCATACAGCTGGCCGTGTAGGGTTACCACTGCTGACGTCTGATTCGCGTTGGGGGCTGCAGGCAGCAGAATCACCTGCGGGGAGAGAAGGGAGGTGGGGAGGGGGAGGGAGAGATGGACTCGCAAATACAAATGACTGTGTAGGGTTACTGCCGCTGACATCCAATTTGCATTGATGGCTGCAGCAGGAGAGAAGAATCACCCGCGGCAAGAGAGATGGGGTGGGAGGGGAGAAGAAGGGTGAAAGCCAGGTGAAAGGAAAGTTAGGGGAAAAGGCTGGATAGAAAATAGGTGAATTGAAAAAGCGTTGCAAAAAGAGTACTTCGAAAAGGAGGTGACTGGGAAAGTTTCCCTTTAAACACTTCTCGCATGGTAAACAAAGCAGAGACGACTTTTGAGGCGCCTCAAAAGTTTCCCTTTAAACACTACTCGCATGGTAAACAAAGCAGAGACGACTTTTGAGGCGCCTCAAGAGTTTCCCTCTAAACACTTCTCGCATGGTAAACAAAGCAGAGACGACTTTTGAGGCGCCTCAAAAGTTTCCCTTTAAACACTTCTCGCATGGTAAACAAAGCAGAGACGACTTTTGAGGCGCCTCAAAAGTTTCCCTTTAAACACTTCTCGCATGGTAAACAAAGCAGAGACGACTTTTGAGGCGCCTCAAAAGTTTCCCTCTAAACACTTCTCGCATGGTAAACAAAGCAGAGACGACTTTTGAGGCGCCTCAAAAGTTTCCCTTTAAACACTTCTCGCATGGTAAACAAAGCAGAGACGACTTTTGAGGCGCCTCAAAAGTTTCCCTTTAAACACTTCTCGCATGGTAAAAAAAGCAGAGACGACTTTTGAGGCGCCTCAAAAGTTTCCCTTTAAACACTTCTCGCATGGTAAACAAAGCAGAGACGACTTTTGAGGCGCCTCAAAAGTTTCCCTTTAAACACTTCTCGCATGGTAAACAAAGCAGAGACCTCACGTTCAAATGAATGGTGTGACTCTCCACAGGTTTCTCAGTCGAAGACACATACACTCTCATGTTGTTGAGACAGCACAAAGGCATATAACAGCTGCACTCTCACCCCCTTGAATGGTGTCACTCCCGATTTGTTGTCTGGTTGTCCGGTTTTAGAGATGACTCAAAACGAGGCGCCTCAAAAAGGCTATCCAAACGGTTCTCACCTTCTTGAACGGCGTCACTCCCCATGGGTTGTCTGGTTGCTCTGGCTCCCCTGCAATGACCAGCTTGCCTGCCGGCTCACACTGCACGCGCACCTGGAGAGAGAACAGAAAGAGTGAGAAGTGGTGAAGTGCGGGGGAGAGGTTTTTGTAAGTGTTGCTGTGGCTCTTCTGCAATGACCAGTTTGCCTGATGGCTCACTCTGCACTCGATCGCACAGTATTAGGGGTGGGAATGAAGTGATTTTATAGCCGACTCAAAAGAAGAATGCACGGAGAGGAAGTGTGGTACATAATTCAAGAAGATGTGCGCGCGAAAAGAAAAGTAAAAAACCAAATATATAAAATTAAATAAATTAAAAACCGCAAAAGGCCTGAAGCAGCCTTCTCTACTCAGCTCACCTCTTCCCGCAGCAGGCCTGGGACAAGAGCGTAGATCTCAAAGCAGTCCGGCTGGGAATGGGCCGGGTGGGTGGGAAAAGGATGAAATGGGAGTTGCCAGAGCTGAGAAACGAAGACTAGCCTTCTATGCGATACAAGTTTCAAGGCGCTTCAAAAGCCCGCCTGGAAATAGGACTTGAGAAGAGCAGAGAAGGAAGCAATTCAGCTGAGGAGGTGGAAGGGGACATGGACAAGAGCAAACCGCCAAGGTGAGAACAAAGGTCTCAAGAGTGTAAGTCTTGAAATGACCCCAAATTTACCCTACTAAATCCAAACCCAACCCATGCGTACAGATCGCCGGACGTTGATTCGAACCCAGTCAGCCGGCAGTCCCAAATCGTTCACCACTGCCACTGCCCCATCATCCATTGCTGCTGCTCCCACACCTCCTCCTCCCCCCACTCCTCCTCCTACCCCTCCCCCTCCCCCTGCCACCCCTGCTACCCCCACTCCCCCTCCTCCCACTGCCGCTCCTCCCACTCCCCCTCGTCCCGCTCCCCCTTCCCCTGCATTCCGCCGCCCCCCCTCTCTCCCCGAGGTGCCACCTCCCCCAGGTGTACCTCCCCCGCTCCCAGGGGGCCTGCCTCTGGGGCGGGGCGCATCTGCTGCCCTGGTCGCCGCCCCAGGTGTTCCTTCAGGTGTTTCTTCTGTTGGTTGCAACGGGGGGTTGCAGCGAGTGTGGGGAGTAGAGATTAGGCAGCAGGGGAGAGCCAACAGAGTGAGGTATGGAGGAGAATGGATCAAGCGCATGGATTAGGATGGGATTTGCAACGTCTAACGGGAAAGGTAGCCTTTACTAATCCAACTGGAACAGTTGATAAGGCACTAGAAGTGAGGGCGGTGGGAACGGAAATTCTGATTGACAAGATTTTTGGGTCAAAAAGTTGAGGGGAAGAAGGAGTTGGAGGTGAAATACTGTGTTGTGCCAAAGATTGAGAGAATCGAGTGTGTTGTGTGGCACGGTGGGTGCGAGAGGTAGGGAGTATTTGAGTGACTTGCATGTATGCAATGCATGAGTTGGCATGGGCTCCGCATGCTTTGGCATGAAATGACCTCCCTCACTCTCCCTCACTCTCCCTCACCTCCATCCTGGGTCCGTCTGTGGCGCTTTGGGCCTGATCCTGGGGTGCCACGCTCCTGGATAGTGGTAATGTGATGTGGAAGGGAGAGCGCGAGGGGGGGATTGAGGCTATATTTGAAGGGCCCAATAGGATGTGCCGCTTTGGGCCTGATCCTGGGGTGCCGCGCTCCTGGAAGGAAGATGTGTGAGCAGCAAGGGGGAGGGGGATGGGGGAAGGGGGTGGGAAGGAGAGTGGGAGGGAGGGCGAAGGGGAGAATTGACACGATCGTTGAGGCGCCTCCAGAAATTGCTGCTTTGGGCCAGATCCTGGGGTGCCATGCTCCGGAATCAATGTTGTGTGTTGTGAGAAGAAAGAATGGGGGGGAGGGGGAGGGGAGAGAGGGAGGAGGGGGGGGAAAGGGGCGAGGGGGGGAATGAGGCGACCTTTAAGCGCCCAAGAGAATTGCCGCTTTGGGGGCGTGGCACGCTCCTGGAAAGATGTGATGAGAGCAGCAGGGGAGAAGAGGGGCAAGGGGGAGAGGGGAAGCAGAGGACAGGGGAGGAGGGAGGAGAGTATGGATGAGTAGAGGGGAGAGGAAAGGACTGGCAGGGTTGTTAGATCGAAGGGGAGGGTGAGAGAAAGGAATAGTGCGATACACATAAATGTGAAACTTTATTTGTCACAAGTGTTCCACAGTTATGTGCTGAGCCCCTCAATCTACCGCATCACTTGAAAATGGCCTCATGCAAAGCACTCACCTTGGGAGTATCCGTGTGATCCCCATCAGCTGCCCCAGTCTTGGCTGCAGCCAATCGTTTGGCTCCACGTGGCCCACTGCCCCCCTGCTGTGATCAAAGCATAAAAACCGGGAAACCATAATATAATACAAGGGTACCCAGTCTCAAAAGTGACTTCGCTCATAGTGGAAGAGCAGCAATTCTAAAGAGTGACGCTTAAGCAGAGTCTTGAAATCGTCCCGGGAAAACATAATATAATACAAGGGTACCCAGTCTTTTGAGGCGCCTCAAAAGTCGGGAAACCATAATATAATACAAGGGTACCCAGTCTCAAAAGTGAAGTGCAGCTCCAATCTCAACCATTCTCTTGGCTCCACATGGCACATTGTCCCCCTGCTGCAATCCAAGCAACAGAATCAGATCTACCAGACACATGGGCTAACACCACACCACACCACACCAGCATGCACCTCACTCAACCGTACCGCACCTCCTGGCAGGGGCTCACAGAACGCAGCACAGCCACCTCCTGCCAGCCGTGATGCTTGTTATCGGTGCGCGGGGTGATGGCGAGAGTGCCTTCCAGCAACGGATCCCTCTCTTCTTGCGCCCACCACTACCCCGTGCCCACCACTACCCCGTGCCCACCACTACCCCGTGCCCACCACTACCCCGTGCCCACCACTACCCCGTGCCCACCACTACCCTGTGCCCACCACTACCCCGTGCCCACCACTACCCCGTGCCCACCACTACCCCGTGCCCACCACCCCGTGCCCACCACCCCGTGCCCTGCCCGCTACCCCGTGCCACCACCCGGTGCCCACTACCCCTGCCATCTCACCCCCCCACACCCCCACAGCACCACCCACCTCCTGGTGGTACTTGCCGTCGGTGCGTGGGGTGATGGCTAGAGTGCCCTCTAGCAACGGATCCCCCCACACCCCCACACCCCTGCACCCCCGCACCCCCACACCCCACCCACCTCCTGGTGGTGCTTGCCGTCCGTGCGTGGGGTGATGGCTAGAGTGCCCTCCAGCATGGGGTCCACGCCCACGTGTTTCTCGTACTCCAGTAGCGCCTGGGATTGCAGGGTGAGAGAGTGGTGAACGGGAGTGCAAGTGGGTGAAAGAGGGTGCAAGGGGGTGAGAGGGAGGGATGGCGAGAGTGCCTTCCAGCATGGGGTCCACGCCCACGTGTTTCTCGTACTCCAGTAGCGCCTGGGGGCGGTTGGGAGGGGTTGAAAAGGGCTGAGAGGGGTTCAGAGAGGTGCCCACCAGCAAGGGGACCACGACCACGTGCCTCTCGTACTCCAGTAAAGGCTGGAGGCGGGAGGGAAGGAGGGTTGCATGTGAGGGAAAGAGGGACGAAGGGGGCGAGATGGGAGGAAGAGGGGAGCATGGTATGCGATCAAAGCATGCGCACAAAGCGTGTATTTTCCAGAGTCTCACGACAATCTTGTGTAAGACAAGAAATTATTCGCCCTGAAAAACTTGCCAGAACCCATCAGCCCTGTCTGAACCGACTGGCCCTGTCGGAACCCACCAGCCCTGTCAGAACCTACTGGCCCTGTCATAATTGAGAAGCATACCTTCTCGTAGAAACCCCGGAAGGACCAGGACAGCGTTGTGCATGACCTGCGCGCAGGCAGACACGGAACACACAGAAATGGAACACTATTAGGCATGGAACGAATGAAATCAACTGACGGGCGCAGACGTTTACTGCTAGTGAGGGAGGGAGGTAGTGAGTGAGTGAGAGTGAGTGAGTGAGTGAGTGAGAGTGAAAAAAGATCCACTGGCAGCTTTTAGGCGCCCATGAGTGAGAATGTCGCCTCAATTGGAGGGTAACATTCTCCACATGTCAGCATCTTGTTGGACATTCTCCTGACAGGGTAGCTGGCTGCGAAAGCAGATGGATCAACTTATAACAATAATGAAAAAATAAATAACAAAAAATGCCGCCTAAAAAACAAACGGAGGCACTGGGAAAAGGGCGTACTTGGGAGGGTCGAACTGGTCCCCAACAACGCGCCAGAGCTTACCACTTGTCACCTGATGATTGGGTGCAGAAAAGAGGGAGATTTGGTTTGAGAGTGACGCAGTAACAATACAACAAGCAAGGGAGACCTTGAAAGGATGACGTTGTAACGTCTTTTCAAAAGGGGGAGTAACATGGTTAGCCTGTCAAAGTCAGAGTTCAATACGTCGCATTCAGAGCATGCCATCAAAACGAAGGAGCATGCCACACAAAGTTGTCACCTTGTCAAAGCCACCGAAAGAGCATACAACTTGCCAGAGCCTGCAAAATGAGGAGGTGATGCGGAAGGGACGCGAAGGGGGGGAAGGGTGGGAGAGGGGATGGGGGGAAAGGGGAAGCGAGTAAAGGGAAGGGAAGAGCAAAGAAACGGACGATAAGGTACAAAATCTGTACCCGCGGAACGCTCGCATGGAAGGGAGGCAACATGGTATGGTGATCGAGTCTTGAGGTGCCTAAATAATTACAGCGCGGTAACGCCAGAGAAGAATGCGAGCCAACGAAATTACACATGGCCATTAGAACGCTCCTGCTGCAACTGCTGCTGCTGCTGCTGCTGCTGCTGCTGCTGCTGCTGCTGCTGCTGCTGCTGCTGCTGCTGCTGCTGCTGCTGCTGCTGCTGCTGCTGCTGCTGCTGCTGCTGCTGCTGCTGCTGCTGCTGCTGCTGCTGCTGCTGCTGCTGCTGCTGCTGCTGCTGCTGCTGCTGCTGCTGCTGCTGCTGCTGCTGCTGCTGCTGCTGCTACTGCTGCTGACGGGATCGCCGTCCTAGATACGAGACACACCTAAAATAAGGGATCTCCGGAGCTCGTATCGTATCATACCATGAACGGCCGGAATTAATGCGCGACTTCGAGAGAGGGCGAAAAAGAGCGTGAGGGTGGTAGGTTGTGGGGGGGGGGAAGGTGAGGGAGAGTGTCGCACCCCGTTTCAATACCCTAGCACGACGCCTTACCTTCCGTGAGAATAAGAATAGACCCACTGTAACCTGGTAATTAACTCACTTCAGCAGATCGACTTCCACGCCATAGAACTTCGGAACCTTAAACTCCTGATGGCGCGACTCGAAGAACGCCTGAAGCTCCTTAACAAACGCCTTCGTATCCGCGCCGCGACCCGGCGGCGTCGTCTGTTGCGGAGTAGTCTCCATCCCCGACGAGCCGCTTACTCCGCCGATTAAAGCCGCCGGCGGGCCAGGAGTGCTCGGACCGCTTCCTTCGACGCCAGTTTGACCCGCGAAAGAGCTTCCAGGAGTTCCGGGAATTCCGGGACCGGCGATTGCATTCTTCCCAATTCCGTGGCCGCCGGCAACGGTCCCGGGGGTAGAACCCGAAGTAGCTTCTACTTGCGAGGGTATATTCTGGGAAGTGTGGATTCTAGATGGGTCTCGGGGGGGCTCGAAGCCACGCGCAACGGGCGGCGGAAGTTGCGGGAGATTTGTCGCGACGCCGGATGGCTTTTGAGAAGCTTCATAAGGCATCTGCGCATTCGGCGGTGCGCCAGATCCGTCTTCTGGACGGGCGACGGCCTCTTTGCCGTCCTCCATACTAGCTTCTTGAGCACCACACTAATGAATCAGTCCGTTGGAAACTTTTAGTACGAGATGAAGTTGACACTAACGGGTGTACTAACTTCGGCGGAAACGGACTTACGAAGACGAAAGCCCTAGAGTGGCCGTTCAAGCTAACTCTTCCTGTCTTCCAAACCACTTCACACGTTCACGAGTAGCTCAGCCTACAGTGGCACGCGAAAAGATTGGAAACGGAAACGGCAGAGAGAAGAAACGGAGAATTATGGCTGTGAAGAGAAACCAGGGACTCCTGTGCGGCATAGAAGGGACGACGAGATGAACCAACCCAAATTCACAAGAAACAGCGCCATTCCTCCCTACAGCCCTAATTTTCTCTCTGAGCTCGTGTTTTCCCTCCCCTGATTTCTCCCCCACCTTGTGAGCAGCAGATCCCCAAATCTTCCGCAATTCTCCCACCCAACACATGGCGGCGGGTGGGGGAGGAATCGACTTCGTTAAAGTTCGCCATGAGCAGAGGAGTGCATCTGGTTGCAGGGTCGCGCACGTCATAGGGTTTTCGCCGAATGCGTTGACAGTCGCCCGCCCATCTGGGAACCCCCCCTGCCCAAAACGGTCTCTGTTGATTCCTCCTGTGCACCCGTACTCAAAATCAAGATTCCTATGTCATCTGTAGTTGGACCATTGCACGTCATACCTAGTGTAGCACAAGGATCCATGGACGGTACGGTATTACACTTCATATCCAAGGCAGAGTCTAGTACGGTATTTATAAAACACCAGTTTAGTGCCATACGTCATATCACACCTGGGACCGGTGAAAGTGAATGTTCTTCCACCCCCAAGCTCCATCAGCACTCTTCCGCCGCTCCCATACTCTTGTCTCGTTGAACGCTTTGCTTCCCACCTTTCCCGAAGCATCTGTCGTTTGAACGAGGCGAGTGTAGGAAACAACTCCAGCATTGCCAACAATGGCAACGTGGGGTGCGACCATGGTTGACTTTGATGAACCATTTCCAGTGCGGCGATCAAAATAGTATTTGTGGAACTCCAGGCCCTTGACCAAGCCACCTGCAAGCCACAGAGTGGACCATCAGAAACAACGCACAAGTGCACTGGACATAGACATCCTTGCATGGAAATAGACGTACCTTGTGCCTCTGGCTCAAAGGCCGAAAGGTGTTCGTCTGAGAGGTTGGAGTACGTCTTGTAGTCTCCAGTGTCAATGGCATTCAGCAAGGCCTTCGTGTTGTCAAGCAAATCACCCTGTGACAATGAAAGATTGTCAGCATTGAACTTACAGCAAGAGAGGTATCATTACAGAAGAGAAAGCTGCTAGCCTGCTGCATACCTCACGGAACTTGGTAAAAAGAGGAGAAACTGCTTGGAAGACTTCGTCTGGTGAACGGGTGGCATCAACCTGCATGGAAGTCAGGGATTCATGGTAAGTTGCATTGCAACGCCAAACTGGCATGGAATCAGTCGTTCCAAAACATATGACATTGCAAAACTACAAATGGGGCCACACAGAACAAAAAGTCGATGCTTTGTTCAGGGGGTTCGCCAGCATGACTTCCTATCCCTTCTTATGGCAAAAGCAAGCCTTCAATAGGGAGGACTCATACTTTGCCTAAACAGCTTATCATAGTCAGGAGCTCAACACTTCAAGCACACTTTCACTGACCTTTCGCACTTTGCCGCGCAAGTCATAATGATTCACAACTGGAACACTCTGGTCCAAGAAAACCCGGAATCTCTTTTTAATGGTATCCATGTTATCGTCAATACGGCCCTGCAGAAGACGAAAGGTCTTATTAGTATTTGTAACAAATCATTTACTTTTACAAGGGACAAGGCCTGGCAAGCTCACCTGGTTTCTTCCAAGAAGACGCTTGACCATCACGTCCTCAGGGCAATCAAAGAAGAGAATGAACTCAGGATCGATGCCAGTCTGCAAGCAACGAAGAACTGTCAAATTCCGAACCAATACACTCAGACAACAACAAATAATTAAGCAGTTTTTGTATACCTGGTTTTCAAAGACTGTCCTGTTATCGTTGTTCCGAGGAAACCCATCGATGAGGAACTTATTATTCCCAGTCTCCTTCATTGCTTTCTGAAGAAGACCAACAGTGACCTCGGCTGGAACAATCTTTCCATCCTTAATCATGTTCTGAATCATGTTTCTGCAGCAAAAGAAGAACGTACACTTCAGCAGTGAAACATCCCATGCACGGCAGGCGCAACGCGAGCTTGCGGGGAGAGTGGAGGGGGGGGAAGGAATTCTTACCCGTGAGAAGATCCAGACTTGATCTCAGCACGTAAAAGATCTCCAGCGCTCAGATGGGTGAATCCGTATTCCTCAACAATCTTCGCGCATTGAGTTCCCTTGCCACTCCCAGGACCACCTGCTCGTGCGATCAGAACCGTTAGGAGCTTGGAATGGAATAAAACTCTGCATCGTCTACGGTTAACGGATCATGATGCGAGGAACGTACCAAGGACGAAGACGATCTGAGGTTTGAACGACCCATCTGGTCCTCCGGCATCAGACTTCCCCGCACTACTTTCCTGTACGGACGCGAAAGAAGACATCAGTTACCGGCTAGCACGATAAGGAGACGAAAACGGAAAGCACTATGACGGTAAGTACCTCTGATGAGGCTTCCGAAAGGGCGATTGATTCGGAAGTGCTGACGAATGTCGGAAGAGTGGCGATTCCACCCGCGGCCAGAAGCCATCCCAGACGACGCCATTTCTGCCCGAGTTCAGAGGTACACCATCATAGTTCAGCACACTGCCTGAGTTCAGAACACTGCCTACAAAGTACACCATTTCAGAATGAGGCCTACAAGATCCAGATCAGCTGAACCACTCACGTTGGTCTCAGGGGAAGTGACTCCTACAGATTCCGCCGTTCCAGCTGCACCGGACGGATGTCTCTGAACCGGGCACGGCACCGCGTCTGCCTGCAATGCAGAATACGAGTGGCTAAGGTAACGCCTTTGAATGGGGGACGTGATCGGCTATCTAATTCGCCTGATACTCACAAGCACACGCGGAGAGAACAGTGACGGGAGGCGACCACGCTTTTTCAGGATCTCAGTAACCACATTTCTGGCAGCCATCTTGCTTGGTGGGCGAAGATCAGAATCTGGACTAGCCACAAAACAAGAAGAGAAGCCTAAGGAAAACGTGGTCACAGGTAGACTGTCGGCAGCAATCTCAAGGTCATTTGTGCTTTGTAATACAAAAAAAGAATAAAAATTTACAATCTCCAAAACAGATAAGTCGATGTAGTATAATGGTCAGTATCTCCGCCTGTCACGCGGAAGATCCGGGTTCGATCCCCGGCATCGGCGTTTTAGTTTACTCCTCTTGTGACCTCGCTTGAAAGGCGCGAGAGCTTTTCGCAGTACAACAACCTTTCATTTTTACATCCGTAACTGTTTTGGTAGGTCTTTCTCCTGCTCATTAGGACAAATGGCTTCATCGCTACACAACGACCGTGTAGCCCTGTGCAGAACTAGTACCGCCTCCGCCGCCTGCTGCGCGTGCTATGGCACCTCCGCTCCCCCGATGCACCAATCACTGGAGGAAATGGACTTCGAGCGGGGCCTTGGGGGTGCCGCGCAACGGGGGGACGTTGCGCGTGTTCGTTATTTGCTCGATCGAGGCGCTTGCGCCGACGGGTGCTTGCCACGTGGCATCGACGAAAAAGATTCTGACTGCGGGCTACCGAACGGGCACACGCCTCTGATCTACGCCGCGCGTGCAGGACACGCGGAGATCTGCGATTTGTTGCTGAAAGTGAGTGGAACTTCACCCTACTAGCCAAAAAGAACATGAAATTGGACATTGTAGGGCCACGGAACATGAAAGAGCTGGTTGTTTGATTGGTCACATACGAAGTTGCCCTTGTAAACGCTCCGTCCCTTCCTCCCTGCCGCCTGGGGCGTCAGTGGGAGCAAGGACGCGAGCAGCGGGCGTCATCGCTCTGCACCACACTGCACCGCGCTGCAGAAACGCGGCATGTGGGGTTGGCTGGTCACAACTTGCACATCGAAATGCAGTAGGGAGCACTCCCCTCCCTCTTCTTCTCTGCAGCACGGGACATTAGAGGGAGCAAGGGCAAGAGCAGGGGTCGGCACCGCTCTGAACCGCACTTCATGGGCAGGGCATGAGGGGGTGGTGCAGCTGCAAGTGAGCTTTCACTGGCTAACGCTCCATCCCTTCTTTTTCTCTGCAGCAAGGGTCGCCAGTGGGAGCAGACTTTTGAGTCGAATCAAAAGTCATCTCGCTCCATCCCTTCCCTTTCTCTGCAGCAAGGGTCGCCAGTGGGAGCGCGGACGAGAGCAGGGGCGGCACCGCTCTGAACCACACTTCATGGCCGGGGCATGAAAGAACTGGCTGGTGTCATATGAAGGTGCTTTTGTAAGCTCTTTCTCTCTTCCTCTCCCCCGTGCAGCATGGGGCGTCAGTGGGAGCAAGGACGAGAGCAGGGGGCGCAACCGCTCTGCACCGCACTTCAGGGACCACCTCCGTCATGAGGGGTTTTGTTGGTTGCCGCTTGCATATGAAGTTTCACTGGCTAACACTCCATCTGTTCTTCCTCCCTGCAGCACGGGGCGTCAGTGGGAGCAAGGACGAGAGCAGGGGGTGCCACCGCTCTGCACCGCGCTGCAGGGGCGGGGCATGAGGGGGTGGTGCGGCTGCTGCTGGCACGTGGTGCTGACGTGACAGCTGTTGATGCTGATGGCTTGACTGCTGCTGACAAAGCTAGTGAGTGGGAGAGGGAGAGGGAGTAAGAGTGGGAGTGGGAGAGGCAGAGGTAGAGGAAGAGGGAGAGGGAGAAGGAGGAGTGGCGGAGAAGGAGAGGAAGAGGGAGAGGAAGAGGGAGGGAGAAAGGGAGGAAGTGTAGGCAGAGAGAGCACTCAAGAGGTAGATTAGGTCAGCTGCAGTTGCTGATGGCTTCATTGCGGAATGAAACCTAGTGAGTGAGACAGGGAGGGCGAGGGAGAATGCGCTAAGCTCTTATATGTCTCTCGTTGTCTCATCATCTCAACTACTTCATGCCAATTTCCCCACACATGACAACCCCAATGCTGTCCCTATTGCACCTAGCTCGTGCATACTTACCCTGTGTATCCATGCCGTGTTCTATTGAGGCCTTCTTCAAGTCGACAAAAAAATCGACAACCCCGATGCTGCCATATTGCTCATGCACCTGTGGCATGTTTTATTGAAGCGAGCCAAGCACTTCAAGTGTTCCATGCCCATGTGCCTGCACTCTGACATGACCGCCCTGGTGCTGCCATGTTGCACCTTTCTCATGCCCCTGTAGCATGTTTTGTGGAAGCGCCTACAGAAATTCATGCTCATATTGCCCCTTCCTCCTGATCTCTTGGTGTGTATATTCTATTTGACGCGAGGCATTGTTGTGCCATCCTTCCAATGTACCATGCATGCTGCAGGGTGTCAGAACCATGAGGGCATTCTAGCACTGCTCTCCTCGCACCAGCCGAAGCTCCCCTGATTGCTGAGGTCTCTCCAAGCGTCAGTACATATACGTATGTGTAACGCTAAGATAAAACTGTACATGAACATGTAGAAACCATATCAAGGAAGAAGGCTGCGCTCTTTCTACGAACAAGGTGCGAAGCTGAACAGGGAGCAGCAGCAGTTGCCTAGGTATCTCCCATCCATCTCATCCATTCAAACATCTTATCTGTCCCCATATCCTATCCCATGCATCTCATCCATTCACACCATCTCAACTGTCCCATATCTCAACATCCATTCACACCATGCACCTCATCCACTCACTCACACACCATCTTACCTAGCTGTCCCATATCCCACGAACCTCATCCATTCACACACCATCTTACGGTATATGCCCCTTATTCCACGCACCTCATTCATAAACACACACCATCTTATCTGTCCCATACCCCAAGGCTCTCATCCATTTGTACCTCCATCTTTCCTTCCTGACGTTACCATAAGAAAAAATCGCTATTGCCATTGGAAATTGAAGAACAGGAGTATTCGAGCCAGGGCCTCAGATATCAGGAAAAAAATCCTGAAATTCCTGATTTTGGCAGTCCTTTTTTTACCTACACTGAAAAATCAGTGTTGAGATTTTTGTGGGACTGAAAGCAATTCTTACTTGTTCCGTTCCGTGTGGATTTGCCCGCAATTACAGGGAATCTTAGATTCCTGCGGTGCCAGCACTCCATTGGGCAGTTTCCCTGTAGCATGAAGTGTTGGCTAATCAGAATATGGCAACCATGTGGTGCTGGAGGGCTGCGAGGGTTCTTGCACCGTTGGCTGTGCTGGCAAGCACTGATGCTCCCATTCCCTCCAATCCAATCTCTCTTGTTTATTTTCCTCCTGTTTCTCTCTCCCTCCCTCTCAGCTCGATTTCTCTCGCGTTTTCTCGTCCGCACTAATACATGGCGCCATCGGCACTAGAAACGCCGGGCTGTCGGGAATCGAACCCATCGCGAGCGCCGCCGAACCTCCTCTTGTCTCGCCGAACACATCGCTCCCGTTCGATGCGATCCGCAGCGCATGCGATATGGTCGTCGGCCACGTGGCAATTCCCTTCGGCGTCGCAGGCCCGCTACGACTCGACGACGCGTAGTTTTCGTGCTAATGGCAACGACCGAAGGCTGCCTCGTCGCCAGCACGAACCGCGGTTGAAAGGCCATCTGCGCCGCGGGCGGCGCGCAGAGCGTCGTGCTGCGCGACGGCATGACCCGCGCATGACCCGCGCGCCCGCCGTCCATTCCCCCGCTCCCTTTACCCCGCACTTCATCCACTCCCTCTCTCCCACGGTCGTCTCCCCCCCAACCGTGCTAGTCTTCCCTCCTCTCTCCCTGCCTCACCCTACCTGTCAATCTGGTTTCTCCCCCAAACCCTGCCCCTGCAGCTTCAACGTGTATGTGTCGCAAGCAGAAGTGAAGCCCGGGTGTGTGCTGCGGCAGAGCACTGTCACGTACTGGTGTCCCAAGATAAGGAGAGAGAAATACCAAAGGCTAAGGGCAACGATGATAGCACAGCTGGTGATGATTCATGAGGCATGTTAGCTTAGCAATGTTTCGAAAGGCTGCTACTGACTTGGTATTTAAAATAGAGATCTCTAATAATAACAGCCTTTTATATTATTGAACACTGATGCATCAGCCTTTTTTCAAAGGCAACACTGATATTCCAGGCTTTTTTTTTTAGGAACACCGTCAATCAGGGTTTCTACACAGGGGTACCCTGATGGGTCGACGACCCTAAAAGTGAATCTGAGGCCCTGATTCGAGCATCTTTTAGCAAAAGATTACGGTAATCAATACCTGAAAAAAAAAACCCCTTGGAATGTGAGAAATGTGTATGGACATGAGCGTGAGTATTTTGACCAGGAAACATGTTTCTGTTGCAGGGGGATCAAACATGTCAAACCCTACACATATATATATGTATATATATATCTTACGCATATATGTATGACATCCCCAAGCAACAGGTGTATTCGATTTCACAACGCTTGAATAGGCACGACCAGTTTTTGGCAACAATGCATCCAGGACGGGTGTGAAGCGAAGCGGCTCGTCACGTCAACATTACGCTGCGGAGAATCGCCCCACTTCGTGCCGCAGCAGTGGTCCATCAGGCCAACCGACACATCCACATGAGAACTTCGTGCGTCTCCTCCAGTCCAGGTCTCCTCATCACATTTCGTCCTGTGGCTTGTGGACTGTAGATTGTTTGTCTGATGCCCTTTGTTTTTTTTCCTGCCCACTGAACGTCGTGGATTGTCGCCTTGCCACCAATCGTGTAGCTACATTTTAGGGGTAAAGTCGGGTCGGCTGCCCAAACCAACTGCTTCCTGAAACTGTTGTTTTTCCCACACCCACAGTCAGCAATTTTCCTCCCAAAACGTGTTGGTCAGGAAACATCTCCGTGAGCGTTCTATCAGCAATCACGGTACAGTAAATATATATTGCACCTTCCCAGTTTGAGAGCTCATGAAAGCTCGAAGTGCTAGTCTCAGTCAACTTCACAGGCGCATGATTCTTCAAATCGCGCGATAGAATGTAAACAGGCTGTATTACTAGCGCAGTACGCCGCTGCATAGAGGAACAAGCGCACTGCATCCCAAAGCACTGGCATTGCACTACCACGCTGCTTGTACGCAAAATTGGACGGAAATAACCGGAAAAAACAAAAAACTGGAATCGCAACTCCGAGGTGAACGAACGCGACAGCTAGGATGGAGGGGGCGGATCGCGAGGAGCGGCACGTAGCGTGGCGACGATTGGTGGAGCAGGCAATGGAGGGAGGCGAGCTGGACAACGAAAAGTTTCTAGATAAGATGCGGCGACGACTGGACAGGTGAGTCGGACTCGCGAAATGAGGCAATTTTTTGGTTTAGAGGGTCTGTCCAAGAGTTTTTACTTCTAAGACCAGTCCGAGGTCCTGTCATAAATTGTCTTTTAGGATACGGCTGCTAGGCACATGGTCCAAAAAGAACATATTTACTAGGACCCGGGAGGATATTGGAAGAGAAGATGAGAAGATGAAGCCATGACACTGTGAGGCTCTCTGGTCAAATAGAGTTGTTGTTGTTGCTGGTTTTTTTTTTTTTAGATATGCCAGAAGCTCGGCGAAGTTTAATGCGTTCTTACATATGTCAAGGGGTGGCAATGAACGTACTAGACGAGGCTGTGTGCGAGAGAGCACAAAGGACAGCGGCTCTGAGGGACGTTTACCTCCCCAAGGTACAAGTTGGGATAAGGGGGATGCCCGTTTAATGGTGAAACGCTTTGAGGGGTGAGCATCCCCCGGGCAAGGCCCCCTGCCCATTTTAAGGTTGAACTTTGCTTTCTCAATTCCCCCATCCCTCACCACCTCCTATGTCTTCCCAGCGTGGGAGTGTCGTTCCCCGGAGTGGAGGTGCGCTTTGAGGGGGTGAGTGCGTCTGCCAAGGTCCGAGTGGGGAAGAGGGGCCTGCCCACGCTGCCCAACCAGCTCTCGAATTCTATCGGCGCAGTGCTGAGGGAGCTGCGGCTGGTCAAGGACCGGCGCTGCCTCTTCTTCGCTCTTGATGGTTGCTCTGGCATCCTCAAACCTGGCAGGTACGCTGCCGCGTCTGAGTTGACTCAACGGTCACCTTGGTGCTGAGGGAACTGAGGCTACTCAAGGACCATCGCCGCCTGTACTTTGCTCTTGATGGCTGCTCTGGCATCCTCAAGCCTGGCAGGCAACTTGATTCCAAGCCTAGCTGGTGTTGTGGGAGTGGCGGTTAGTATTGAAGGATAGGCGCTGCCCGTTCTTTGCTCTTGATGGCTGCTCTGGCATCCTCAAGCCTGGCAGGCAACTTGATTCCAAGCCTAGCTGGTGTTGTGGGAGTGGCGGTTAGTATTGAAGGATAGGCGCTGCCCGTTCTTTGCTCTTGATGGCTGCTCTGGCATCCTCAAGCCTGGCAGGCAACTTGATTCCAAGCCTAGCTGGTGTTGCGGGAGTGGCGGTTAGTATTGAAGGATAGGCGCTGCCCGTTCTTTGCTCTTGATGGCTGCTTTGGCATCACCCGTAGCCCAAGCCAAGATGCTGTACATGCCGGCGCCAGTCAAACCCAGCTCCACCTAATCAAACCCATCCCCACCCATTCCCGCCACAGGATGACGCTGCTGCTGGGGCCGCCAGGCAGCGGCAAGTCAACGCTGCTGAATATCCTCCTTGAGGTGCCCCAACTTGGTCAGCACCTGATCAGCACCTAATCCACCCCACCCCACCCCACCCCACCGGCTCGCTCAACCCACAGGATGACGCTGCTGCTGGGGCCGCCAGGCAGCGGCAAGTCAACGCTGCTGAGGATCCTGGCAGGGAAGGCGGAGAGGGAGCTGGGCGTGCAGGGCGAGGTGACGTACAACGGCCGCCCGGGGAGCGAGTTTGTGCTGCCGCGGTCCGTGGCGTTCGTGCCTCAGACGGATACCCACATCGGCGAGATGACTGTCCGGGAGACCCTCGAGTTCTCCGCTCGCCTGCAGGGGCCAGGTCACCGAGCAGGTAAACTCTTAGGGAGACGTTTGTGCCTCAGACAGACACCCACATCGGTGAGATGACTGTGAGGAAGACAATTGAGTTCTCCGCTCGCCTGCAGGGGCCCGGCCACCGAGCAGGTAAACTCTTAGGGAGACGTTTGTGCCTCAGACAGACACCCACATCGGTGAGATGACTGTGAGGAAGACACTTGAGTTCTCCGCTCGCCTGCAGGGGCCCGGCCACCGAGCAGGTAAACTCTTAGGGAGACGTTTGTGCCTCAGACAGACACCCACATCGGTGAGATGACTGTGAGGAAGACACTTGAGTTCTCCGCTCGCCTGCAGGGGCCCGGCCACCGAGCAGGTAAACTCTTAGGGAGACGTTTGTGCCTCAGACAGACACCCACATCGGTGAGATGACTGTGAGGAAGACACTCGAGTTCTCTGCTCGCCTGCAGGGGCCGTGACACAGGGCAGGTGGGGATTGGTTTTGAGACGTCTCAAAACAGGGCAGGTGGGGATTGGTTTTGAGACGTCTCAAAACAGGGCAGGTGGGGATTGGTTTTGAGACGTCTCAAAACAGGGCAGGTGGGGATTGGGGCATGAGGTCATGGATGGGTGCTCTGACAGGAACAGGCAAGGTCTGTTTCATGATGTCTCAAAAGACGGACACCCACATCGGCGAGATGACTGTCCGGGAGACCCTCGAGTTCTCCGCTCGCCTGCAGGGGCCCGGCCACCAGGCAGGTGGGTTCTCCGCTTGCTTAAATTGACTGCTGCCTGAGGTTTGAGGCGTCTCAGAACCCCCCAGCTCTCCTTCCCTCCCTCTGCCCCTCTCTCTCCCCCTTCCCTCCCTCTCTCCATCCCTCCCTCCCTCCCTCCCTCCCTCCCTCCCTCCCTCCCTCCCTCCCTCCCTCCCTCCCTCCCTCCCTCCCTCCCTCCCTCCCTCCCTCCCTCCCTCTCTCCCTCCCTCCCTCTCTCCCTCCCTCCCTCCCTCCTTTTTTTCCTCCCTCCCTCCCTCGCTTCCTCTGCCCGTTTCCACTGCTCTCCTTCCCTCCTTCCCTGGTGCTGTGCTACTATACAGCTCAAATGGCCGTTCCTCGTTTTGATCCCAACTACAGTAGCATCTGCTCCCCACTCCGTCTGCTACCGACTTATGATGCCTCCTGCCCATTCTGCTCCCTTAAACCAAACCGATCGCTTATTCTCCTTCTCCCGCTTTCCATGCAGACCTATTTCGGCAGCTGGAGGAGAAAGAGCAGGAGGCAGGAGTCCAACCTGATGACGTCATGCAAGCCGTTATGAAGGTAGTGAGGACGTCATGCTAGTGATGATGCCTGCCACAATGACAGCTGTAATAGGTAATTTCAAAATGACACGGAAATGTCAGTTTGTGCCCCTTGACATCTACCCTGCCTAACGAATCTTTCCCTTTCCCACTCTCCCCTTTGGTATTGCTGCATGTGTCATGATCGTTGCTCTTTGCTGCAGGCGATGGCCGATGAGAAGCAGTGCTCGGATGTTGTGGTGCAGTATGTCCTTAAGGTGTGTGTGTGTATGTGTGTTAGTGTTTGTGTGTGTGTGTGTGTGTGTGTGTGTGTGTGTGGGTGTGTGTGCTCATGCGCGCACATGAGTTGATTTGTGTGCATGTATGTTCGTGTGTGCTTGTGCACTGCATTTCTGTATATGAGAGTGCATGTGTGTGAAATTTGTGTGCATGTGTGTTGAATTATGTGCGCATGTGTGTTAAGTATGAGTGCATGTGTGTACACGTGTGCCAATGTGAATGCATGCATGTGCATATGTGTGCATATGTGTGCATTTGTGTGGACAAGATTGTGTGTGAGTGCATCTGTATGCATCTGTATGCATGTGTGCGAATGCGCGTGCATGTGAGTGCATGTGTGTGCATGTGTGTGCATGTGAGTGCATGTTTGTGCATGTGTGTGCATGTGTGTGTATGTCATACATGCGTATGCATGTGTGTGTCTGTGCGTTTCTGCGGATCACTCTGCATGTCTGTTCAGGTCTGTGCACATTTAAAAAGAAACAAGCTGTAGTCCCTGTGCCGCCTTTTGAGGCGCCTCAAAAGTCGTTTCTGTGTATCTCTCTGCATATCTTGTCTGTACACATTTAGAAAGAAAGAAGCTGTAGCCCCTGTGCCTGCCCTTTCTTACCCCCTCCCTCAGGAGGCTGAAAAAGCGAAGCACAATCCAGCCTCCTCTGTGTTCTCTTCCACCCATTCTCCTCCCGTTCACCTGTCCTACAGATGCTCGGTTTGGACGTGTGTGCTGATGTCATGTTAGGAGACAGCATGCGAAGAGGAATCTCCGGGGGGCAGAAGAAGCGGGTTACCACCGCCGAAGCACTGCTGGGCGCAAAGCAAGTCCTCGTATTGGACGAGATCTCCACCGGTCTCGATTCTGCCACCACTTACCAGATCACCCGGTGCCTACGCAACCTCACGCACTTCACTAATACCACCACCCTCATCTCCCTGCTGCAACCCGCGCCCGAAACCTTTGAGCTGTTTGATGACGTCATGCTGATGTCAGAGGGGCGGATTGTGTACCACGGGCCCAGGGAGGAGGTGCTGGGATTCTTCCGGGAAATGGGGTTTGCGCCGCCCGCCCGCAAGGGAGTGGCTGACTTTATGCAAGAGGTGAGGTTCCATCCAGTCACAGTGCCTACAGTAAGTCACAGTTTTTTTTCCTCATCTTGATATATTTGGCTGACATGGCCTCTTGGCACTTACAGCTCATCCAGGAAAATTGCTGACATAAAAAGAAAAAATATGTGCTATGTATTTACTCTATTTTATTTTCTTCCCCCTTCCGTTACCCCGGCTTCTTGTGCCGTGCTTCCTGCCATCCCCCGTATAGGTCACCTCGCTAAAAGACCAGGAACAGTACTGGGACCCCTCTCAGCCCCACCCATACCGCTACGTGTCCGTCCGAGCCTTTGAGGAGGCCTTCCGAGCCTCCAGGTTTGGCAAGCAGATGGAAGCAGAGCTCTCCATTCCATTCAAGAAGGATAGGGGTGCAGTCAAAGGCGAGAATGAGGGGAAAGACGTGAAAGACAAGGGAGAGGGTGAGGGTAAGGACGTGGAAAACGGAAAAGAGAAGGGAGAGGGAGACAGAGAGGATGGGAGTGCGGCTCTTGCTCTAGCACAGAGGCGGTTTGGGCTCCCTCCCCTTGCCATTCTCACCGTTGTGGGTGATCGCGAGTGGCTGCTGATGAAGCGGAATGTGTTTCTCTATATCGTGCAGACCATGCAGGTACAGCAGATTCTTGTCACAGTCAGAGTGATCAGTGAAATCTGTTTCTTTCACATTGTAGAACAGATGCTCATTACAGACGCCCGTTATAGTCACACTGATCCACTTGCCTTCACTATCTACGTCTCAAAAGTTTTAGAAAAACGAAAGAAAAGATAAGGAAAATAACAGAAGCGATTTTCTTCTCACACCTCCCATTCCCACGCCCTTACTCCCTTCCTATCCTCCCCTACTCCCACCCTCCCCTGCCTGTCAGATCCTCCCCCTCGCTATAGTCACAATGTCAGTCTTCTGGCACTCCCAATTCTCCACCACCCCTTTGGACGGCAATTACTACCTGGGCGCCATTTTCTTCGGTATAAGCACAATGCTGTTCAGCGGAATCATCGAGCTCACACTACTCACGGCCCGCCTGCCCATCTACTTCCTCCAAAGGGACAATCTGCTCTTCTCCGCCTGGGCCTGGGGTGTGCCCATGGCGCTGCTCTCTCTGCCCATCTCGCTGTGGTCTGCTGGAGTCTGGACGACCATCACCTACTATGGCATCGGCTTTGCTCCTGAGTTCTCCCGGTGAGTTTCTCTTGGGTACTACCATGTTCTTCCATTTCCTGCGTGGGCCTGGTGTGTGCCCATGGCGTTGCTCTCTCTGCCAATCTCGCTGTGGTCTGCCCGGGTCTGGACTGCCATCACCTACTATGGCATCGGCTTCGCTCCGGAATTCTCGCGGTAAGGATGGATGAGAGTGGGTCTCGGTTGTGCGTCCTCCCGTTGAGTCGCAAGCACCACACTGCTCATGCTACTCTCTGCTGGGGTCTGCACCACCATCACCTACTATGGCATCGGCTTCGCTCCGGAATTCTCCCGGTGAGTGTCTCTTGGGTAGTATGTTCTTCCTTGTGTCTCCTGCAACCATTCGTGCTCACACTGCTCTCAGCTGGGGTCTGGACCACCATCACCTACTATGGCATCGGATTCGCGCCGGAGTTTTCCCGGTGAGATTCTCAGCGAGGCACGTTCCTCCGAGTATCTTTCGTGGATTCATAAGGCTCACAGATATATGGAAATCACCTTTGAGAATTCTCAAAAGTGTTTTCCCGGTGATATTCTCAGCGAGGCACGTTCCTCCAGGTGACCTTCATGGCTGCTCGTGCTACTTGTGGCTGAAATCTGGACTGGATCACCCTCACCTACTACGGCATCGGATTCGCCCCCCAGTTCTCCCAGTAAGGATGGATGAGAGCGGGTCTCGGTTGTGTGTCCTCCTGGTGAGTTGCAAGCACCACACTGCTCGTGCTACTCTCAGCTGGGGTCTGGACCACCATCACCTACTATGGCATCGGATTCGACCCCCAGTTCTCCTGGTGAGTTTCTCCGCTCATAGCCAAAGTCGAGACGGCTTTACCTGCCCAGCTGGCCCGTTCAGGATTTACCCCGGAGTTTCCTGGTAAGGCTGCTTGAAGCCAGTCTTGTTTGTACCGGCACTTGTCTTTTGAGGCTCCTAAAAGGTCGTCACTTGCCCAGCTGGTCCGTTTAGAATTCGCCCCAGAGTTTCCTGGTAAGCCTGCTCAGAGCCAGTCTTGTTTGTACCAGCACTTGCCTTGCCAAAGCTCCGTTCACGCCTCCTCCCTTTTTCCCATGCCACCCTCCCTCACCACCCCTCACCGCTCCTCCTTTTAGCCCTTGTCATTCTCCCTTCTGACTCCTCATATTCCCCCCCTCCCCCCTCTGCAGCTTCATCACCCAACTTATCCTCTTCATCACCCACATGGCTGCCTCTGCACCCTACCGAGCCATGGGTGCCATGCTCCGCAGCACCACTCTCAGCAATACCCTTGGCAACATTTGAGTCGACTCGAATGTCCCTCAATCCTCCTCCCATTTCCCCCTGCCACTCTCGCTCCTGTCTCCTCATCCCCTCCTGCTGCAGCTTCATCACCCAACTGATCCTCTTCTTCATCACCCACATGGCTGCCTCTGCTCTCTACCGAGCCATGGGAGCCATTTTCCGCAGCACCACTCTCATCAACACGCTTGGAAACTTCATCCTCGTCCTCCTCTTCCTGCTCTCTGGTTTCCTTATCACCAAAGGTACGTGCTTGTGGGTGAGTGAGGCAGGGCAGGTTGTGAGGGCAGTGCAGGTTGCCAATTTTGAGACGTCTCAAAAGTGAGTGAGGGCAGGGCAATTTGGGAGGACAGTGCAGGTTGTAGGTGCCTACCTGTGTAGGTACATATCGGACCCACTCCTGATCGTTGCTCTCTGTTTTCATCATCACTCAAGCCTCTAGTCAAGCTATGTGCTTGTGGGTGAGGGCAGGGCAATTTGGGAGGACAGTACAGGTTGTAGGTGCCTACCTGTGTAGGTGCCTACCTGTGTAGGTGCCAACCTGTGTAGGTGCCTACCTGTGTAGGTGCATATTGGACTGCCTTCTGTATCATAACACCTTTGTCAGGTGCCTACCTGTGTAGGTATATATCGGACCCACTCCTGACCGTTTCATGTAAGACCGGCCAGCTCCACCTGCGTTCTCCTCTTCCTGCTCTCTGGTTTCATCATCACTCAAGCCACACGTCAAGCTATGTGATAAAAGCTATGTGCTAGAAGTTGGGGTTTGAGATGTCTCAAAAGCCAAGCTATGTGCTCAAGGTTGGGTTTTGAGACATCTTAAAATTCAAGCTATGTGCTCAAGGTTGGGTTTTGAGACGTCTTAAAAGTCAAGCTATGTGCGTGCGGGAGAAGGTGTCAATGGACTGGACAGTTGTTCTGCGGAGGCCTTACTTCCATCAACTCTTGCTGTTTTGGACAATAACCACATGGGTTTGGTGAGAGAGAGGACGGAGTGCCTGGTTGAGTGCGTTTCATCAACACTCAAGCCTCAGACCTTGCTATGTGCTTGCCCTCACACGCCCACATACCCACATCGACCATCCCATCTGCTACGCTCTGCCTCTGCAGTTGAATTTTACAGGGCATGGGTGTGGGTGTATTGGACCTCGCCCCTCACATACTGCTCCTTCATACCATCCTCATCCTCATGCTCACACTATCGTTCTCCTCTTCCATTCCCTAACCCCTGCAGATGACATCCACGACGTGTGGGTGTGGGTGTATTGGATCTCGCCCCTCACCTACTGCTCTCTCATCCCATCCCACTTCTCCTGTTCCATGCCGCCCCTTTGTTCCATGCAGCTGACATCCACGACGTGTGGGTGTGGGTGTATTGGATCTCGCCCTTCACCTACTGCTCTCTCATCCCATCCCACTTCTCCTGTTCCATGCCGCCCCTTTGTTCCATGCAGCTGACATCCACGACGTGTGGGTGTGGGTGTATTGGATATCGCCCCTCACCTACTGCCAGAACGCCTTCTCCTCGAATGAGTTCCTCGCCCCCAGATGGGATGTGGTATGTGCTGTGCTGTGCCGTGCTCTGCCGTGCCGTGCCGTGCCGTGCTGTGCTGTGTGGTGATGTGCTGTTCCATGCCATGATGATATACTACCTGATATGTGTGGTGTGGTGTGGTGTGCTGTGCTGTGCTATGGGTGTGGTGTGCTGTGCTGTGCTATGGTATGGTATGGTATGGTATAGTATGGTGTTATACCCTGTGCGGATCTATGCCTTGTGTGGTGCTATGCTGATGATGTGTAGTAGGATGTTGTGTGGTATGATGCTGTGTGGTAACTATGCTGTGTGGTAACTATGCTGTGTGGTAACTATGCTGTGTGGTAACTATGCTGTGTGGTAACTATGCTGTGTGGTAACTATGCTATGTGGTAAGTATGCAGTGTGGTCATACAAAGCAGTGTGATGCTATGCTGTGTGGTAAGTATGCAGTGTGGTCATACAAAGCAGTGTGATGCTATGCTGTGTGGTAAGTATGCAGTGTGGTCATACAAAGCAGTGTGATGCTATGCTGTGTGGTAAGTATGCAGTGTGGTCATACAAAGCAGTGTGATGCTATGCTGTGTGGTAAGTATGCAGTGTGGTCATACAAAGCAGTGTGATGCTATGCTGTGTGGTAAGTATGCAGTGTGGTCATACAAAGCAGTGTGATGCTATGCTGTGTGGTAAGTATGTTGTGTGGTCATACAAAGCAGTGTGATGCTATGCTGTGTGGTAGTCCTGTGCAGTGTGGAGCCATCCCCTGCGTACATCTTTCTTCAGGGCCACAACAACCTCTGCCTCTCCCATTCCATTTATCTGACCCCACTCTACCCACTCCTCCCCCTCTTTTCCCTCTCCCTCCTCATCCCCTCTCTCCTCCTCCCCCGCTCCGCCCCAGCCTTCTGTTCCCCCCTTGATGAACACAACAATGGGCCTTCAGGTGCTCACGGCTCGCAGCCTCTGCACCCACAGCTGCTAAGAGGTTTAGGAGAATTCTAGAAATCGCCCTACAAAAGAATTCTAAAAAGGACCTGCACAGCTCGCAGCCTCTGCACCCACAGGTGCTGGCTGTGGCCCTCCATTTTCTGGAAGCTCGCAGCCTCTGCACCCACAGGTGCTGGCTGTGGCCCTCCATTTTCTGGAAGCTCGCAGCCTCTGCACCCACAGGTGCTGGCTGTGGCCCTCCATTTTCTGGAAGCTCGCAGCCTCTGGACCGACAGTTGCTTGCTGTGGGCTGGTGCTGCTCTCTGCTAGGCCCCTCCTCAACCCAACAAAACACCCAACCATGTAGTGCCTCTAAACCATTTCTCCTCGTCTCTCTCTTCCCTCTCCTCCCCCTTGCCCACCCGCCCCAGCCCTCCGACCCCCTCTCGTTGAATACAACGATGGGCCTTCAGGTGCTCACAGCTCGCAACCTCTGGACGGAGGGCTACTGGGTGTGGGCTGGCGCTGCAGTCGGTGTCGCCTTCACTCTCCTCTGCATCCTGCTTACAATCCTCGCACTAGAGTACCTCAACCGTAAGTGTGGCACCAAGTACCAAGGTGTGCTTTGGTTTTGAGACGTCTCAAAACTAGTGTGGCACCAAGTACAGAGGTGTGCTTTGAGTCGAGTCACACCACACGTGGGCTGGTGCTGCAGTGGGTGTCGCCTTCACTCTCCTCTGCATCCTGGTTACCATCTTCGCACTAGAGTACCTCAACCGTAAGCCATGCACTAAGTACCTCAACCGTAAGCCATGCACTAAGTACCTCAACCATACGCAATACACATACATGTTGAAGCCGTAAGCAAGTGCACCTGATTGCCTCTCAAGCATAGCTGTGCGCTTAACACAAGCTGTGCGCTGAACATAAGCTGTGCGCTTGACATAAGCTGTGCGCTTAACATAAGCTGTGCAATTACCAAAGTACCAAAACTGTAAGCTCTTCTCTAGCTCTTTTGCTCTATCTCTCTCTCACTTGTCCCCTCACCCATCTCAACCCCCTCCTTCCTCGAGCTTGGCCCAAGCTCAGCCAATGTTCTCCCAGAATCAAATAGACTTCCCGATTCACCCCTCTCTTTCTCTCTCCTATTCTCCCCTCTCCTCTCCCCCCTTCTCACTCCAGCCTGGCCCAAGGCCTAGCCATGATCATGTACCAAAACATCAAGTACTAGAACCGTAACCATGTGCACTTGCTCACACTTTCTTTTCCCCTCACTCATCGCACCCACCCCTCCTTCCCCCAGCCTAGCCCAGGGACCAGCCAGTGATCTCGCAGCATCAGCTTGACGCCCCAACTCACCCCTCTCTTGCTCTCTCCCTCTTCCTACTCCTCATTTCCAACCCCACCTCCCCTCCCCCTCCCTTTTCCTTCCCCCAGCGTGGCCAAGAGCCCAGCCAGTGATCTCGCAGCATCAGCTAGACGCCAGGGAGACAGCCCTGGCTGGCACCAACCTGGACTTCGCCTCGCGCTACTCCTCCCTGCGCTCCCTCACGCTGACTCAACCCTCGATTTTTGAGACGTCTCAAGTTTTGACTTTTGAGATGTCTCAAGTTTTGACTTTTGAGACGTCTCAAGTTTTGACTTTTGAGACGTCTCAAGTTTGACTTTTGAGACGTCTCAAAAGCCTCGCGCTACTCCTCCCTGCGCTCCCTCACGCTGACTCACCCCTCGATTCCTCATTCTCCGTCTCCAACCACCCCCCTGCTCTTCCCCTTTTCCCCCTCCTCCCCCCCCCTCTCTCTCCTCTTCCCCCCAGCATGGCCAAAGGCCCAGCCAGTGATATCGCAGCATCAGCTGGACGCTCGGGAAGCATCTCTAGCCGGCACCAATTTGGACTTTTCCTCACGCTACTCCTCCCTTCGCGCCCGCACGCTCTCCCGCACCGGCTCCACTGCCACGGCCCGCTTCCTCGCCAGCAACCGCTTCCGCTCCCCCAAGAGCCTTGCCAGACCTTCCGCTTCTGCGCGCTCGCTCGGATTTTTTTCTTCGGGCAGCCCAGCGCCTCGTTCCCGAGGTTTTACCTCCTGGATGTCGGAAGGAGAGGATTTGGAGGGGGGGAATGGTAACCGTAGGAGCCGTATGGGGTCGTTTCTGGGTTTTGCTGGTGTTTCTCCTGGTAGAGGTGCTGGTGCTAGTGCTGCCTCTGGTGCTGTTGGGAATGTGGGTGAGAGCACGGGAGTCAGTGCAATCAGCAGCACAGGCGGAAGGGGTAAGAAGCAGCGGCAGAGGAAAGCGGATTCGTTTATGAGTGATGCTGGTATGGTGAGTGGAGTTAGTAACACAGGAGGAGAGGAGAAGCAGCGGCAGAGGAAAGCAGTCTCGTTTTTGAGTGATGGGGATGCGAGTGAAGGTGGGGCGGTGAGTGCAGTTGGCAGCACAGGAGGAGGAGACGGTGGAGGAGAAGAGAAGCAGCAGCAGAAGAAAGCAGTTTCGTTCATGAGCGATGGGGACGCGAGTGAAGGTGCAGCTTGTGAGTCGACTCCACGACAGAGGAAAGCAGTTTCGTTCTTGAGTGATGGAGATGCGAGTGATAGTGGGGTGGTGACTGCAGGTAGCGGCACAGGAGGAGGAGGAGGAGGAGGAGGAGGAAGAGGAGGAGGAGGAGGAGGAGGAGGAGGAAGAGGAGGAAGAGGAGGAAGAAGAGGAGGAGGAGGAGGAGGAGGAGGAGGAGGAGGAGGAGGAGGAGGAGGAGGAGGAGGAGGAGGAGGAGGAGGAGGAGGAGGAGGAGGAGGAGGAGGAGGAGAGAAGCAGCGGCAGAGAAAACCAGTCTCGTTCTTGAGTGATGGGGATGCGAGTGAAGGTGCAGGGGGCATGACTGCAAGTGGAGGGGATATAGGCCAGCACGGCATGGTCCTCCCCTTTGATCCGCTCACCCTCTCCTTCCACAACGTCAACTACTATGTCGACATGCCCGCCGAGCTAAAAGACAAGGCCGCGCCGCCCGGCCAGCGGCTGCAGCTGCTGCACAACGTGTCCGGCGTGTTTCGTCCCGGAGTGCTGACTGCCCTGATGGGGGTGTCTGGGGCGGGGAAGACCACGCTAATGGATGTGCTGGCAGGGAGGAAGACCGGGGGGTACATAGAAGGGGATATCCGCGTGTCTGGGTACCCGAAAGTGCAGGAGACGTTTCTGAGGGTGTCGGGGTATTGTGAGCAGGTGGATATCCACACGCCCCAGGTGACCGTGCATGAGTCTCTGCTCTACTCCGCCTGGCTGCGGCTGCCTGAGGAGATCGACCGAGATGTCATCCTGGTGAGTGCATGGGCGGGATTAGAGACGTGATCATGGTGAGTCAATGGTAGTGGTAATGGTAACGGTTATGTTAATGGTGATGATGATGGTGATGGTGATGGTGATGGTGATGGTAATGGTAATGGTAATGATAATGGTAATGGTAATGGTAATGGTAATGGTAAAGTCACTGGCTACACCGCCTAGAGGAGGTGATGGCGGATTGGATGTTGTTTGAAGTCTCTGCTCCTCTCCGCCTGGCTACACCGACTAGAGGAGATCGATAGGGATGTTATGATGGTGAATTAAATGGTAATGGTAATGGTGAGTGGAGGGGTGTGGTTGTGGTGAGTGGAGAGGTGTGGTTGTGATGGGTGGAGGGTTGTGGTTGTGGTGAATAGATGGGATTTGTGGGGGTTGTGTTCATGGTGAGTGGAGGGATGCGGTAAAGGTGATTGGAGGCGTGTGAATATGGTGAGTGAGTGGTTGGCAGTTCCTTTCGCCCATACCATTCCCTCCATCTCCTCATTTCTCCGTCCCCAACAGGAATTCGGTTCACTTTTGAAAATCCCAAAAAAATGGAGCTGATGGAGTTAAAGCCGGTGAAGGGCACTGTGGTGGGAGTCTGCAAGCATGTCTCTTTCCTCATCCTTGCTACAATGCCCATACCCCTCTTCGCTCTCCTTGCTACAATGCCCATTCCCCTCTTCCCTCTCCCCTCTCCCCTCTCCCCTCTCCCCTCTCCCCTCTCCCCTCTCCCCTCTCCCCTCTCCCCTCTCCCCTCTCCTCTCTCCCCTCTCCCCTCTCCCCTCTCCCCTCTCCCCTCTCCCCTCTCCCCTCTCCCCTCTCCCCTCTCCCCTCTCCCCTCTCCCCTCTCCCCTCTCCCCTCTCCCCTCTCCCCTCTCCCCTCCTCCCCTCTCGCCTTTCCCCTCCCAACAGGAATTCGTGGAGGAGGTGATGGGGTTGGTAAAGCTAGAGCCGGTGAAGGGAGCATGTATCCATACCACTCTACCAGCTCCCCTCTCCCATTTCCCTCTCCCATCTCCCATTTTCCCCCTCCCCTTTCCCATCTCCAACAGGAATTCGTGGAGGAGGTGGAGGAGCTGGTGGAGCTAGAGCCGGTGAAAGGAGCGCTGGTGGGAACGGCAGGGCAGGACGGGCTGTCGGTGGAGCAGAGGAAGCGGCTGACCATCGCAGTGGAGCTCGTAGCCAACCCCGCCATCATCTTCATGGATGAACCCACCTCAGGTGCCACCTCCCTCTCAGGTACCACCGTCCCTTCAGCCGGGCAGGATGGTCTGTTGGACTGGGCAGAAGCCTCTTCCTCACCCGCCGTCCTCTTTGTAGACGTTTTTCTTTTAGGCACCTCAGAAGATTTTGACCTGTGAGGCAGCTAGAATGTTGTCTACTTTTTAGCACATCAATATTTTGAGGTGAAACCTGGCAGAACACAACACAGTGAAACCTGGTCGCATCTCTTTTCCCCAACGTTTTTCTCTCCAGCCGGGGATTTGTTTTTTGCTGCCCAGCCAAGCACACACCCAGCATCAATATTCTAATCATACCAGCATCCAGCGTCAAACTTCTACCTCTTTCCCTTGACCTCCCACCTTTTTCCGTCAAATTTCCACCTCGCCTCCTCGAAGTTTCATTACTTTCCCTCGCACTTTCACCTCTTTCCGTCACCTTCTTAACCTTCTCTCCTTCCTCTCATCCAATCACAGGCCTGGATGCGAGGGCAGCGGCCATAGTGATGAGGGCGGTGCGCAACACAGTGGAAACTGGTTGCACCTCTTTTCTTCACCAGCTTTCCTCTTCCTCTCACATGTTTCTCTCCGCCTACTCTCTAACCTCACTTCCAATCACAGGCCTGGATGCGAGGGCAGCAGCCATAGTGATGAGGGCGGTGCGCAACACAGTCAACACGGGCCGCACAGTCGTGTGCACCATCCACCAGCCGTCCATCGACATCTTTGAGGCGTTCGACGAGGTGAGATGTCATATGCTGTGTGCTTGTGTAAGTGTACACTAAGAAGACAGTATGGGGTCGCACAGTGGTGTGCACCATCCACCAGCCATCCATCGACATCTTTGAGGCCTTTGATGAGGTGAAGCATCATATAATTTGTCATATATATTCAAATATATATCATATATATATGTATATATGCACACCAGCCGTCCAGTGACATCTTTGAGGCCTTTGACGGAGCAACAAAAGACAACAAGGGTTTTATGCTTGAGCTGTGTGCACCAATGTATATGCATACACTTAGGATTATACAACGTGTCAAAACCTGCAAGAAAATCATGTGCGGCACAGTCAGCACAGGTCATAAGGTGGTGTGCTCGTGTTCGTTACACTGTAACAAAAATACACTGTAAAGAGGCACACGGTACATTGCAATGCATGCACCCAACATCACCGTACAATGATTTGCACCATACTCTATGAATGATTTGCACCATACTCTATGAATGATTTACTCCACAAAAACTTACTCCAGCTCAAATCGCACTCTCTCTTCTCTCCTACTCTTCGTCCCTCCCTTGTACTGCTGGCTCAGCCTGCACTAGCATGTACTTGTTCCCCCTTCGCATCTCTTCTACCTCAAATGGTCTTTTGTATTAATTCAGCGGGGGTACAAACATACGGTTTGACTTGTGGTTCTTCTACCTCTCTCTCTCTCAAGACTATGCCTTGCGTTTGCGGCTGATGCAGCGTACAGGAGAGGTGATTGACATATGCGCTATGGGAAATATGTTGCTTCTTGCCCGAACTTCCCATCCCATACCCTCATCCCACCCACCTCATACCCACTTCTTCCTCTCTTCCTACCCCCCTCCTACCTCCCACCGCCCTGCAGCTGCTGCTGATGCAGCGGGGAGGAGAAGTCATCTACGCGGGGTCACTGGGGGCACAGTCATGCGACCTCATTCGCTACTTCAAGGTAAACCCTAGATATGTCAAGGAAATGATAATTCAAGCATGGGGCAGGAATGGTGGCTTAAATGCTTCTAACATGGTTAATAATTCAATTAAATGCTTCCATCCTGTCTCGAACCATATTGTCTGATTTATTTTAGGCGCCTCAAACTATAAGCCTCGCATGGCTTGTCCCATTCATAAGTTCTCTTCTCCCTCCTTTCGAGGTCGTGAATGCCTCCCTTCTGCTTTCCCCTTCTTCATTTCCCTCTTCCACCCTTCCTTCCACCAGTCCATCTTAGGAGTGCCGCCCATGCAGCTGGGGCCAACGCTGCAGCGTGGATGCTGTCATAATGTCTCCCTCCCCCCTGCCCCCCCGCCCATTCTCTCCCTCCCATTCCCAATCCCCCTGCAGTCCATCCCAGGGGTGCAGCCAATCCAGCCCGGGGCCAACCCTGCAGCGTGGATGCTCGAGGTCACGGCCCCAGCAGCAGCAGAGAGGCTTGGCGTCGACTTTGCCCAGCTGTTCCGCCAGTCGGAGAAGTTCAGGTGAGAACAGCAGGGGCCCAGGTGAGAACAGAAGAGGCTCAGGTGAACACTGCAGGGGCTCATAAGCTTTGTTCCATCGGACAAGCCAGTTCAGGTTCCAGACAACGATCCTGGCCTCTTCTCCCCAACCCAGTCTCCCTCACACGCCCATCACCCAGTTCCTCATATCCCTGCTTACCTTCTCTGCAACTACCCTTCACGCCCTCCTCCCCCTCTCTCCTCCTCCCCTCTCCATCCTCTCCTCTCATACCTCTCTTTCCCATGCCCCACTACTACATAGAGCTGCTGTTATATTACTCAACCTCATGCTTCACAGCCGGTCATTGGCTGGTCATTACTCACAGCCGGTCATTGGTTGGTCATTACTCACAGCCGGTCATTGGTTGGTCATTACTCACAGCCGGTCATTGGTTGGTCATTACTCACAGCCGGTCATTGGTTGGTTGCTGAGAGTCGTCAGAAACAATCTGCAGGCCCCACAGCCTCGCTGATCCAACCATCAATCATGGGCATACATCTCTCGTACAAAAATCAATGCGCGTGCCACATGCAGCTCGTTCCCCCTCTTTTGTACATCTTCTCTCCCGTACACTCTTCTCCCCACTATCCCCTGCCTCTCTCCCTTGCCCCCCACACCATCAGGTCAATAGAGGCACTCATCCAGGAATCCAGCGTGCCTCCCGAAGGCGAGCCGGACCTGTTCTTCCCAACGCAGCACCCCACCACACCGCTCTCCCAGTTCGCGACCCATTTGTGGAAGCGGCACCTCATGTACTGGCGCATGCCCGACTACAACGGTGCGCGCTTCTTCTTCTCCTTCTTCATGGCTCTCCTCATCGGCGGCGTCTTCTTCGCCTTCGGAAACTCCCACGACACGCCGCAGCAGATTGTGAACGTCATGGGTGCTCTCTACACTGCTGCTCTCTTTCTCGGGTGGAGCAATCTCACATCGATCCAGCCGATGTTGGCCGTGGAAAGGAGTATCTACTACCGGGAGCGGGGCGCCGGGATGTATGGAGCAATCCCGTACGCACTCGCGCAAGGGGCGGTTGAGCTTCCATACCTGCTGATTCAGGCTGTGGTGTACTCGTTAATAACATACTCGATGATTCGGTTCGAGTGGACGCACTGGAAGTTCCTGCTGTACCTGCTGTTCCAGTTCCTCACATTGCTCTACTTCACGTGTTTCGGCATGATGACGAGTGCCATCACGCCCGCTGAAGGGCTTGGGATGCTTCTCTCTGCCTTCATCTACTCCTTCTGGAACCTTCTCTGCGGCTTTCTCCTGCCGCAGCCGGTGAGTGCAGTGTTCAATGCACTCTGTTCTTTAGTCTTTCGTCGGTTGAATAATTGGCTGCATTATGCCAACCTTGTTGTACGGCCCCCATTCCGTGTCCTACTGTCTTGCTGATTCCTCCCCCCCCACCCCCCTTCCTTGACACACTCAACAGAACATCCCAATGTACTGGAAATGGCTGTATTGGTTAAATCCTGTCGCGTGGACCCTCTACGGCCTTGCTGCTTCCCAGGTACACCCTCTTCCTTTTTGCCCTCACTTCTGCCTTCTTTCCCAACTACTCCCCCTCCCCTGCCAGCTAGTTCCTTGTATTAACCCTAACTCTTCATGTATTAATCGTTTCATCTCTGGTTGCATCGCAGTTGGGAGATGTAACGACCCTAGTGGCGAGTCCACCGGGCATGCCACCTCAGACGGTATCGCAGTTCATCCAGCTCTACTACGGCTTCTCCCACAACTGGCTGGGTTACGTCACAGTCGCTCTGCTTGGCTTCTCCTGCCTCTTCTTCTGCGTGTTCACCTTTGCCCTCCGCAACCTCAACTTCCAGAGGCGATAGGACTGGGAGATAGTATGAGCTGCTGTGAATGTATCACATCGATGTGTTCATTTACGTGCCTCAAATGATGTATCTGAACACACTGTTCCTATTATCAGCATTTATAATTCGCTTGAGAGTGCGCACAGCATCTGGTTTCTACAAATTACCCCTCACCTTTACCAAGGCACCCGAAGACAGACCTTCGAATGACTGGGCACCTGTAGGACAGACCTTGGAATGATTGAGAGTGAAAAGGAAGAGTAACTTATTTTCTAATATCCCACCCAGCTGTTCCATGTTGTGGAAAGGAGTGCTTGTTATCGGGAGTGGGGCCCCAAGATGTATGGAGCCATCTTGTATGCGCTCGCACAAGTAGTAATACAGCTGCCATACGTGGTGATTCAGGCTATGGTGAACTCAGAATTAACATGCCCCATGATTCAGTTCGATTGGACACCTAGATAATTCCGTGGTGTTGGTGCAACCCTACGGTTTGCATTCGGCTTGTTGTCCATGTGCGTGCATGCGTGTGTGCATGGAATGGTATGAGGGCATGAGATAATATATATTTCATGCTTACAATAGTGTGTGAATGATGAGGCATGATTTTGAATGTGTGTGTCGAGTCAATAGCGAGTTATCGCTAGTCACGTATCACGTCGTCGTTTGCGTGTCGTGTGCGGTTTTCTATTTTCTCGTGTGTGGAACGTTCCGCGTGTCGCAGGTGTGCGCAGCAGACTTCCAAGAACTCAAGGAAGAATTTATCTTGAAGAACCAGAGCCTTGGTTTCAAGATTCAAGTGATTTCGAAACTCTCCAAAATGGTCAACTTCAAGATATTGAGAATAGTTACATTACAATGTGTAGTGTAACATTTCTCTTGGTGTAGGCTCTTGTGGAGGGTAGTTTCGAGACCCTTCATGGTTGGGGACAGTATGACACTGTTCCACATCACTGTATCTCGGCTCTTGGGGTTTGTAGAGGCTGGGAGTCATTCCCAACTCGTAACTCTTCCTAATTTGTGTTCTAAGTCTATAGTGACTGCCATAGTGCCGTTCGTTCAAACCGACGTTGCGTCATCATTACTTGATGAAATCGTGCGATGTAAATTGCCTATTGTAAGCGATAGCAAGACGCTCCAGATCCAATTCATAGCAAGTCATTTAAAGCTGTGAACAGAATGCTATCAACGTTTGAAGCCGCTGTGCAGAAATCCGACAGTGCACTCTATCTTTTGTTTTAGGCACATTCAAGCCTATTGTGACTATTAATAGTTGTATCAGAGACCCTTGGAGCAAGTTCGACAATGGTTGGACCTGAGGAAAAGGGTGGCAAAGATGCTGGTGGCAGTGGAGAAGCCCAAGCTCAAGGCCAACCCCGTGATTCAGCCATGGCGCCCGTGCAACCAAGTCTTGGCCCACCTAGGAATGAACCTAGGGTGTTTGGGCTTGACAAGTTCAATGGCGACAACTTCGCTGAATAGTCCTTCAGAATGGAGAATGTATTTGACCACTATGACCTGCTGGAGGTGATGGAAGGAATGGAGAAGCGCCCCGAGAACGACCCAGAGAAGAGCCCGTGGGTGCGGAAGAACGCACAAGGTTATCTCCTACTTGGGCAAGCGTTGGGGAGCAGCCAGATCCGTCACATCAAGCCATTCTAGCGTGAACCAGAGAAGCGACCAAAGGCATGGGCTGCTCTCAAGGGTGTACATGCTCCTGCAACAGCGGCGGTAGCGGTGGTGTTGGAGCGGAAAATGGCGGCACTACGAATTTAAGAAGATGAACCGATTGAAGAAGGGGTGCAGAAATTCTTCGACTTGTTGACGCGGCTTGAAGGAGCGGGTCTTAACTATAGTGAGCTCCAAAAAAAGACCAAGTTGCTGGCCTTACTCCCTGAGTCATGGTCCTCGCTCATCATCAACCTGAATCGTGACTTGCTCCGCCTCTCGCTTGAAGACATGAAGCGAGCGATCCTTCAAGAGGATTTCCGCCGCCGTGAGTTGGCGGGTTCGGATGGCGCCAAGGCAGCAAGCATCGGTCGGGGATATGGTCGTGGAAGGGGCAGAGGACGAGGAGGAGGAAGGTTTGGAGGTAGAAACTACAATGGAGGATGCAGAAGTGGCAGCTATGACAATGACAACAAGAACTACGGACGCGATCGCGGACGGCTCGTCGGCGAGTGCCATTTTTGCCACAAGAGCGGACTCATGTGGCGCGATTGCTACAAACTCCCTGATGGATGGACTTCTGCTCAAGGCCAAGAGGATAGAGGAGCAAGGGGAGGGAGAGGAAGAGGCCGTAGAGGCCGTGGCGGTCACGGAGGTGGAGCTGCAAACATGAAGAGTGGAGATAACGACAACGACTCGAGAGACGATCGGTTCCCGGATCAATTCTTCTTCGTCTCAACGCAATCATCGGCTGGACCAGAGAAGGTGGAAGGCTTTGAGGAGCCTGCAGCTGTGGGAAAGGTGACCCTACACTCTCTGGACTATTGGGTGATCGATAGCGGCGCTACCTATAGCATGACACCTCGTGCGGACTTGCTCACCGAACTTGAATCGTCACCGGTCAAGCATGTAACATCAGATTTGGGGCAGTGAGCAGAGGTGAAAGGCATGGGCAAGGCCATGTTTAAGGGTGCTGATGGGAAGATTGTGGGCCTCAAGAACGTTCTTTTGGTGCCCAACCTTGCTGTGAACCTGATTTATGTGCGGCGATTGCAAAAGGCCGACACGGATACGAGCTCAAAGGGAGCCAAGACCTACACCGCAAGGCTTGGCGAGCGGATTCTTTGGGTCCTTCACGAAGAAAAGAATGTCTACAAAGAGATGTGGCAGATCCCTGTGGTCTCAATGCCTAAGGAGAGGCAACTGGCAGCAAGCGTCGGCACCAAGGGTGAAGCGGTTGGTAGCGGTGACGACGCTAACGATGGCATCAAGGAGAACGAGTCCAAGAAGTGCAATCTTGGAGGGACCAGCAAGCAGTGTGAGCATAAAGAGAGTGGTGAAGCAGCCAAGAAGCAGCAAAAGGGCAAGGAGAACCCCGAGGAAGCAGCGGAGGAGGAGTACAGAGAGAGCATGTGGGGCACTATTGCGAGTGCGGCATTTTCCAATCCGACTTCGGCTACGGGGGAGTGTGATTGGTTGTCTTTGCATCGGTGCATGGGGCATGCGGCTCTGCCTATTTTGCAGCAGCTAGTGAAGGAAGAGATGGTTGTTGGCGTATGTGTGAAGGGGGAGCCCAACGAGGTACTTGGTTGCCCGACATGCATGCAAGCCAAGTTCTCCCGATTCCCGTTCTCTAGCTCGGAGGCAACGACTAAGAGGCCACTTGATGAGGTGGTGATGGATGTAGTGGGCCCCTTGAAGCTTGGAGCTGCTGGAGCATAGTATTTCCTCACCATTGTGGACGTCTACACCCGCATGACCTAGGTGTATGTGCTCTCCAAGAAGAGCGACGTGGCTGAAACGGTGAAGACCGATTGGTTGCCGATGGTGGAGCGGCAACAAAACCGGCTAGTGAAAGCAATTCGCACTGATCGAGAGGGAGAGTTCCTGAGCAATGATTTCTCTATGCGGCTGAAGAAGAATGGCATAAGGCACTCCTTTACCATTCCGTACTCCCCTGCAATGAATGGCATCGCCGAGAGAGCAAACCAGACAATCACGGAGACGGCTCGCAGGTTGCTCATTGAAGCCGGGTTACCCGATTACTTTTGGCCCGATGCGGTGCGGAGTGCGTGTGTGGCTAAGAACAGAGCCTTGACTCATGTGGTAGCAGACAAATGGGTGCCCTATGTGGAGTGGATTGGAAGGAAGCCAAAGGTGGATATGCTTCAGGTGTTCGGGTGCATGTGCATGACACTCGTGCCTAAGCATCTTCGGCACAACAAGCTCGGTGCGAAGGCGATATGGGCTGTGCACTTGGGCATGGCTCAAAACAGCAAGGGGTGGCTTCTTTGGGACCCATTCACCAAGAAGTTCTTGGTGAGAAGGGACTGAAAACTCATGGAAAACCTCATGTACAAGGATTGGAAGGCGGAGAATGAGGCGAAGATAGGTGTGTGGTTTGGGGAGGTGAAGAGTTCCGGCTTGGAGCAAGTGGAGCTGCCTTTGGAGCTGAGTAGCGGTAGCACCATCACAATGCAATATCCTCTTGTGAATGGGGTAGAGGAGGCCAGGAATGGAGAAGAAGAGGGGGAGGAGGTGCAGCAAACGAGCAAGCGTGCACCGACACTTCCATCTCGAGCAGCGAGTGCTCCTCGGATTCGCGTCACCCCGCAGCAACGCCATGAGAGCCTTCATGTCCCTGCAGCTGAGGAGGAAGGAAGGGGCAAAAGGAGAATCCAAGCCCCTAATAGGCTGACCTATGATGCGACGGGAAAGCCAGCCAAGTCAGCCTTGGCCGGAGCGGCAATGATGGTTGGAGATGACGAGGAAAGTGAGTACAAGGAGTTTGCTTTCGCGTTCTTCTCTCCGGTGGTGATGCCGGGGGAACCAGCAACTCTCAAGGAGGCCTTGGAGAGTAGTGATGCTGAGGAGTGGAAGAAGGCAATGGAGAGTGAGCTGAAGAGCATTGAGGAGAACGGCACGTGGGAATTGGTGGAGCTACCGGAGGGCCGTAAGGCGATTACGTCCAAGTGGCTCTTCAAGATCAAGTCCGACGACGATGGCAAAATCGAGCGCTACAAGTCTAGGCTTGTGGCCAAGGGGTACCAGCAGAAGGAGAAGGTGGACTACAAGGAATTGTTTGCTCCTGTGGTGAAGCCGACGACGCTGCGAACCCTACTCGCGGGAGCTACCATCAAAGGATGGGTGGTGAAACAAATGGATGTCACAACGGCATTCCTCAATGGCGTCCTTGAGGAAGAGATTTTTATGGCACAGCCAGAGGGGTTTGATGATGGTAGTGGCAGAGTGTGGAAGCTGAAGAAGGCGCTCTATAGGATCAAGCAAGCCCCTAGGCAGTGGTACTTCAAGATGCGTGAACTCTTGGAGGAGATCGGGTTCACTACCTCATCCGCCGATCATTCCTTGTTCATACTTGGCGAGGGGGAGCAGAGGAGTTTCATGGTGGTTTATGTGGATGACATCCTCATTTTCTCACCCTCTTTTGACCTTGTGAAGGAGGTGATGCTGAAGCTTCAAGACAAGTTCAAGTGCAAGGCCCTTGGTGACGTGAGCTTCTACCTCAGGCTTCACATCGAACGAGATGTGGAGAAACGGTGTATGCGTGTGCACCAACGGAAGTACCTGGAGGCCTTGGCTGCCAACTTTGGGCAGATTGAAGGCCATGTGACTACTCCATTCCTTTCTGGGTTGAAGTGTGTGAAGGGACCAGAGGAGGAGAGTTTTGGCGAAGAGGAGAGGCGTCGTTTTCACTCGTTGGTGGGCAGCCTCATGTACGCGGCGGTAAACACCCGACCGGACGTCGCATTTGCTACTGGGCAGTTGGCTAGGGTTGTTCAATGCCCTAATGAGGAGCAGGTAGCAGCTAGAATGAGGTTGGCTAAGTATCTTGGCCAAACAGCGACAGTTGGGCTGCAATACTCGGCGGCGGCACAAACGCGCCAAAAGGGCGCGGATGGTGTTGAACCCAGACGTTTGTTCCTCACAGCCTTCTCCGGTGCCTGTTATGCATCAGAACAGGAGGACATGAAAATTGTGGGAGGCTTCATTTGCTGTGTTGGTGGAGGCCCAACTGCTTGGGAGAGCAAGAAGCAGGTGGACCAAGCATTGAGCATGATGGAGTCCGAGTACATGGCACTTTTCCATGCCGTACGGGGGATTGTGTGGCAGCGGCGTTTGTTGGCTGAATTGGGGGAGGAGAAGCAAGGACCTACCCCACTCTACTGTGTCAGCTAGAGTGCCATTTCTCTTGCTAAGAACCCTGTGTTGCATGGCCTCACGAAGCACATGAGGGTGAAATGGCATTGGACGAGGAGCATGGTGGCCGCGGGTGAAGTTGAGGTGCCCTACGTGAAGATGACAAGGCAGCCAGCTGACATGATGACCAAGAGGCTGGTGGAGGAGCAGCATTGGAAGTGTTGCAAGCTGGCTGGGATGGCTCTGAACTAAGAGAGCAAGATCCTAAGGCCAACAATCCGAGGGGGAGTTTGTTGGTGCAACCCTACGGTTTGCATTCGGCTTGTTGTCCGTATGCGTGCATGCGTGTGTGCATGGAATGGTATGAGGGCATGAAATAATATATATTTCATGCTTACAATAGTGTGTGAATGATGAGGCATGATTTTGAATGTGTGTGTCGAGTCAATAGCGAGTTATCGCTAGTCGCGTGTCACGTCGTCGTTTGCGTGTCGTGTGCGTTTTTCTATTTTGTCGTGTGTGGAACGTTTGGCGTGTCGCAGGTGTGCGCAGCAGACTTCCAAGAACTCAAGGAAGAATTTATCTTGAAGAACCAGAGCCTTGGTTTCAAGATTCAAGTGATTTCGAAACTCTCCAAAAGGGTAAACTTCAAGATAGTGAGAATAGTTACACTACAATGTGTAGTGTAGCATTTCTCTTGGTGTAGGCCATTGTGGAGGGTAGTTTCGAGATCCTTCATGGTTGGAGACAGTGTGACACTGTTCCACATCACTGTACCTCGGCTCTTGAGGTTTGTAGAGGCTGGAAGTCATTCCCAACTCGTAACTCTTCCTAATTTGTGTTCTAAGTCTATAGTGGCTGCGATAGTGCCGTTCGTTCAAACCGACGTTGCGTCATCAATACTTGATGAAATCGTGCGATGTAAATTGCCTGTTGTAGGCGATATCAAGACGCTCCAGATCCAATTCATAGCAAGTTGTTTAAAGCTGTGAACAAAACGCTATCAACGTTTGAAGCCGCTGTGCAGAAATCCGACTGTGCACTCTATCTTTCGTTTTAGGCACATTCAAGCCTATTGTGACTATAACACGTGGTTCCTGCTGTTACGGTTCCTCAAGCTGCTCTATTCCGCGTGTTATGGCATGGCGAGTGGGATTACCCCAGCTGAAGGTCTGCGGATGTTTCTGTCTGCCTTCATCCACTCCTGGAACCTCCGCTGCAGCGAGTGCTATGCTCTATGTTCTCTATTTTTAATTATTCAAAATAGAATCTATGTGTGCCATGGAATGGAAATGGCTGCATTTCATAAACCCACTTGAATGGCCCTAGTTTCCCTCTCCTGCTATCCTTGATATTTCTACCCTTCACACACTCCACATAACATCCCCACTTACTCGAAATGGATGTATTGGATCAACCCCATTATATGGATCCTCTCCTGCCTTGCTGCTTCCTAGGTATGTTAGATTCCTTTCCACTCTCAAGTAGCATCTTCTTAACTTCTCCTCCCGCTTCACTACCATTCTATTCTTTCTACAATCCTTTTTTTTTCTCTAGCCTTCAACTCCAAGGAAAACACCGTGGTGTAGCAAGAAAAATCGTCCACGACTACCATAAAGTAGTGCTCCCCGCGAGGTTCAGCAACTGGGGCAGGGCCCCAGAGGTCCAAGTGCAGGGTTTGAAGAGGCTCAGTGGTGCGAGACAACGAGGAGGAGTGAGGGGCGGCGTGCTGCTGGCCCTCAACGCAAGGAGTGCACAGTAGCACAGACGAGGGAGGAAGCTGGGCAAGCGACTTTGGGAGACCTGAGACAAGTCGATGAGAAACTATCTGACACAGGCGCGGAAAGGAATAGTGACTTAGGCAGTGGTGCCACCGGAGCGGCGGGTGGGTGAGGGACCGAGACGTGCAGGACGCAGCCACCTGACTAGACGCAGACACCGGGATGGACACTTTGCACAGTAAGAAGAGATCTGACCCAGAGTCACAATAAAATGTGACAAGAGGAGCCCCAGTGGTAGAGTCCGTACAGGTCGCAAACTGCTCGTGCAAAAAAAACGTGGTGGTGACACCCATGTCCAGAAGATAACCCACACCGACCAAGTTCTTGGAGAATGAAGGGACGTGCAGACCCATAAGGAAGCCAGAGAGGTCAGCCGGACATGTGAGCATAGTATAGTATGTTGCCAGAAGTATGGCAACATTGTAGCCTCCTCTCCTCGCACCAGCCCAAACTCCCTTGATTCCTGGGGTCTCTCCAAACATACGTAAGAAGTATATGAAGAGCTCCTATTCATACTATAAAACTGTATTATCAGTAATACATAGAAGCTTTAGCTACTGTGCAGTTTGAGCAGTACATTCCCTTATTAATAATAGGGTTGCACCCTTTATTCAAACACAAGTTGGAAGCTGAACAGAAAGCAGCACCAGTGGTCTAGAGATCTCCTATGACCCCATCTATCTCATCCATTCCCACCTTCTCATCCATGCCTCCCTACCACACAGCAGGATTCCTATAGCCACTGGAATTTGAGGTTGCGGAGGGCGTAAGTGAGAAGACGGGAGAAGCCGAGCAGCGACGTTCACAACAGCTCATTTCTCCCTATACTATCGCCACTGGAAGCTGAGGTTGCGGAGGGCCAGGTGAACACGCAGAAGAAGCGGCAGGAGAAGCCACGCAGAGCATCAGCAGTAGCATGGCCCAGCCAGACTTGCCAGGCTCAAAACAATTCCGATAGGTTTCTGACTCGTCTTGTCTTTTCTCAGCGCATTTGAAAGTCGAGGTTGCAGAGGGCATAGAAGGTGAACACACAGAAGAAGAGACAAGAGAAGCCGAGCAGAGTAGTAGCACGATCATCTCTCCCATTCTCATCGATTTTGGAATTTGAGGTTGCGGAGGGCATAGGTGCAGACACAAAAGAAGAGGCAGGAGAAGGCGAGCAGAGCAGCAACAGCGTAGCAGAGCAGCAACAGCGTAGCCGAGCTAGTCGTGGTAGAAGTCGTAGTAGATGTGGATGAACTGCGATACCGTCTGAGGTGGTACTCCTGGTGAACTCACCACCAGCGTTGTTACATCTCCCAACTATAACGCAACAGAGATGAAATGAGGTACAAGTGAGAGAAGTTCGGGATGGTATAAGGAACAGGTGGGAGGGGAGTAGGAGGAGAAATATGAAGGTAATACATGCTTAGAGGAAAACCAGGGTATACCTGCTAAAACAGCGAGGCAAAAGAGGGAATACCTGGAACGCAGTGAGGAAAAAACAGGTATACCTGGGAATCAGAAATGAAAATAGGGTATACCTGGGAAGCAGCGAGGAAAAAAAAAGGAAAAAAGAAAAAGAAAAGAAAGGGTAGTAGCAAGGCAAGTATACATGGGAAGTAGCAAGGCAAAAGAAGGTATACCTGGGAAGCAGCGAGGCCATAGAGGGTCCACGCGACGGGGTTGATCCAATACAGCCATATCCAGTACACCGGGATTTTCTGTTGAGCGTGTGAAGGAAGAGGAATCAGCAGGCCAGAAGGAGTGGGGAAAAAGGGCCATTATACGTAGTTGATACCATGCAAACATTTCCATTACAGCACTAGGGATGTTATGTTGAGTACTCAAGAAAGGAGAACAGAGCCCAAGATGCACAATGCACTCGCCAGCTGTGGTAACGAGCGTGCGGGCGAGCAGGCCACCACTCACTGGCTACAGTCATCGAGCACTCGAAAATAGATAGCAACGAGCACTGCACTCACCGGCTGTGGCAGGAGAAAGCCGCAGAGAAGATTCCAGAAGGAGCACAATCTGCTGCGGCGTGTTGCGGGTGTGTCCGAAGCCGAAGAAGACGCCGCCGATGAGGAGAGCCATGAAGAAGGAGAAGAAGAAGCGCGCGCCGTTGTAGTCGGGCATGCGCCAGTACACGAGGTGCCGCTTCCACAGATGGGCCGCGAACTGGGAGAGCGGCGTGGTGGGGTGCTGCATTGGGAAGAAGAGGTCCGGTTCCCCTTCAGGGGGCTCACTGGATTCCTGGATCAGTGCCTCTATGGTCCTGTGGGTGAGAGGAATAAGGGCGAGAAGAGGGCAAGGGAGAGAAGGGGGGTAAGATGGAGGAACTGCGAGAGTGGCGTTGTGGGGTGCTGCGTTGGGAAGAAGAGACCTGGTTCCCCTTCAGGAGGCTCACTGGATTCCTTGGATTCCTGGATGAGCGACTCTGTGGCCCTGATGGTGTGGGGGGTAAGGGGGAGCAGAGTGTCGGGGGGGGAGGGGGGGGGGGGGGGGGGAGAGGGTATTTGAGGAAGCGAGTGAGGCATGCTGGATCCCTGGATGAGCGACTCTATGGCCCTGCGAGTGAGAGGGGAAGTGAAGAGGGTGAAAGGGAAGAGAGGGCAAGGGAGAGAAGAGGGTGTATCGGAGAGAAGGTAAGGGAGGGGAGAGGGTACAGCAGAGAAAGGGGTACGTGCATGGGAGAGAGGGGGAGAGTGATGTATGGGGCACTGTTGTTGTTTGGCCGATCCCTGTGGAGAGGAAGGGCGGATGGAAGGAAGTGTGGGGGGAAAGGGGTAGGGGATGGGAGTGAATGGTACCGGTAAGAAGAGAGATTGGGAGAAAGGTGTGTGAGGGATACTGGGTGGGTTGGGAAGAAGAGGCAGGGCTGTTGGCTGAAACCTTAGTTATTCTCACATGACCAGGCTCGTCTTTTCCTGATGAAACAGTCCCTCTCAGCCTCTGCTGTATTCACCTGAGCCTCTGTTTCTCTCACCCGATATTTTTTTGTTCTCACCTGAACTGGTCAGACTGGCAGAACAGCTGAGCAAAGTCTACCCCGAGCCTCTCTGCTGCTGCTGACGCCGTGACCTCGAGCATCCATGCTGCTGGGTTGGCGCCGGGCTGGATGGGCGGCACTCCTGGGATGGACTGATGAGGGGGGATCACAATGGTGGGGAAGGAGGGGGAGAATGAGGAGAAGAGATGGGGAAGAGGGCAACAGGAATGTCGACGAGCATCCACGCTGCAGGGTTGGCGCTGGGCTGGATGGGCAGCACTCCTGGGATGAGCTGAAGGGGGATAGCGAGGGGAAGTAGAGGAAATGTGAGGAAGGGTGAGGGAGAAAACCACGAGCTTGAGCAGTCACACGGTGCGGGTTGGCCCTGGGCTGGGTGGGTGGCACTCTTTTTGATGGACTGGGCGAATGGAAGGGCGGATTGAGAGAGATTGGGAGGATGTTGAAGTGGGGAAGGAGGTTGGAGTTGGGAGGTAGGCACTGGAGGGTAGGAATCGAGGTAATCCTGATGTGGTGTGGCTCACAGAATGAAGGGTGGGGGATGGAATGGAGTGGAGGAGGGAAGACGAAAGGTGGGAAGGAGGGAGAAGAGAAGTTACCTAGACAAAAATCGATGCCTTACCTTGAAGTAGCTAACGAGGTCGCACGACTGCTTTCCCAGAGACCCCGTGTAGATGACCTCTCCTCCCCGCTGCATCAGCAGCAGCTGCAAGGTGGTGGGAGGTTGGAAACGGGGTGGGAGGTTGGGAACGGGGAGTTAGGGGCCACAAGAGAGAGAGGTGCAGCATGGTGTGGTGCGATGGGGAGGCGTGCAGGGGAGAGGAAGGAGGTGGGAGGGGAGGTACGAGATGGGTGCAGTGCAGTGGAGGAGGCGAGGTATATAAGCAGGGAGGGGCGAGCTAGTGGGTAGTGTTGATTACTGTGCGGCGGTGTTATCTCAATGCACTTTATTGCGTGTCTCGTTGAAGTGTACGTTTATTTGTATTAGTTTTATGTAGAAGTATGAGTAAATTTAAACTGAACAGTGCAATATATATATACACAGACATGTATACATACATCTGTGTGTGTGTGTGTGTGTGTGTGTGTCGATGGACGGCTGGTGGATGGTGCACACCACTGTGCGACCCCATACTGTCTTCTTAGTGTACACTTACACAAGCACACAGCATATGACAACTCACCTCGTCGAACGCCTCAAAGATGTCGATGGACGGCTGGTGGATGGTGCACACCACTGTGCGGCCCGTGTTGACTGTGTTGCGCACCGCCCTCATCACTATGGCTGCTGCCCTCGCATCCAGCCCTGCCAAGGTTGTGGGTGGGGGGGTGAGAGGAAAACGAGGGGGAAAGAGGGGAAAACAATGTGTGGCCAGTCTTGGCTGTGTTGCGCACCGCCCTCATCACCACGGCCGCTGCCCTCGCATCCAGTCCTGCATGGAATGAGAGGAGAGAGAGAGTAAGAAGAAAAGAGAAAGAAGAAAGAATCCGAGGGAAAGAGGTGTGTTGCACACCGCCCTCATCACCATGACCTCTGCCCTCGCATCCAGCCCTGCTCAGGGTGTGAGGAGGGAGATTAAAAAGAGTGAAAAAATGCAACGGAAAGAGGGAAAAGGGTGAGAGAGAGAGGTGCGACCAGTCTTGCCTGTGTTGCCTCCTCATCACTATGGGTGCTTCCCTGCGTTCCAGGCCTGAGAATAAGAAGAGGATGTGAGATGGAGAGACCATATCCAGCTAATTCAGACAAAGACTTGGAAATAAACGAGGGGGAAGGGTGTGTGGCCATACCACACACCCTGGCTCTATTAGTATGTTTGTTTTGCCACCTGATAGCCACGTGAAGTGGGAGTTTTTTTTAGACGTCTCAAAAACACTCTCATTTCAACTGTCTTCATTAATTTTCCTGTCTTGCCACCTGAGAGTATATCTGCTTTGAGACGATTTGAGGCGCCTCTAAAAACACCTCAATGCATGTACTCATGAGAGTTAAGGGTAACGTCAAGAGGTCACACAGAGCGTCAAACACACTTAACGTTCCAAAGGGTAGGAAATATAAGTTACGAATAGTAATTGATGAAACATTACTGTGCACTCTTGACAGCAGCAATCAAAGCTGCACTCCTGACAATTCGTATCGAATCAATCAACGGTCAAGCAGAATGTCTACTTACGGTTGTACATGTGATTGGTAGCATTGCAAAAAGTTATGAATATTTAAGATTGAATTGTTACAGTGCAAACCAGACAGTAGCAATCGAAGCATGCTGGGCAGCATATGATATGTATGTTGTGCAACGTGGGATTTACATTTTGTTTTTTATAAACCTTATGCACTGTTTGTGTGAATGCCTTTGGATGCATAGACAAGTTTCGTCAACATAAAAACATAAGTACTTGCGCCCATATCGAAACGAATGTACAACAGTGGCCCCATGTTTGTGCACGGACTACTTGGTGATCGTGACATCCACACTGAGCTTTGCTGCGTTTCTTGTGGATTGCACATTTGTCCCCCATCCACTTTATTGTTGTTCATTCTGCTATGCATAACTGGTAGACTTGGGGTGTCTTTACGCACACATTCTGCACTTTGACAGAACGAGTACGTAGAAACTTTACGCACCGCATGGTTGGGTTGAAATTTGAAGAAGGGAATGAACCCTTAACTGTGTTACATTAACCCACACTCACATGTGCTTGGGTATCGTGACTTTATTTATGCCTGTTGTTCTATAAGAGGTACATAAAGTTGGAAGCCCGTAATAAAAATGATTAACCTAATATAGGTAACAGACTGGTAAAGGTAAATGATAGGGGCACATCCCCTGCGTCGTGGAACCTTTTGTTCCCTAGACTATTGAGTTTTTGTGATATGTTTGTGTTTGCGATTTGACGTTTCACGATTTAAAATGTTTGATTCCGATATTTGGAGTGTTCAGACTCGTCGCAAGTACTGTCGCAGATGTCACAGTGAAATGCTAATGTGCATGAATCCGTCAATATGGATGTCAGAAATTGACAACTCTTCACGCATTTGTCACGATTGAGCATCTGGACATCGAACCAATCAGATCATGATGCTTGGATCGTTGATGTAGAAGTGATGGTTCGAGACCATTCAAGCGATTTCCATGTCCCGTCACAAACCCCCCGTGAACATCCCGTCATCGGATTATCCAACATTGGCCAAGTGTTCCTGTTATGCTCGTTGCCTGCTTGTCAATCAGAATTAGCAGTTATGCTCGTCCGTCACAACCTCCAGCTCCCAAAGCTCAGTATATCTACAGTGCATAATTCCGTGAAGGCATTCAGCCACCCAGCGATTTTCATGCGCTTGCAGACTCCACAATATGCCGAAGAACGGAACCCGTAAAAGTGGTCGTCTCAGTGCGGCGAAACCTAGTCATGCTGCGGCGGCAGCGACGACTTCTATGGTCAGCGAGCAGCATCCAACACAACACCAGCAAAACGGCCCTGATGTGCAACCAATTGGGGACGGAGGACCGGTGGTGACAGACATGGTCGCGGAACTGCGGAAGCTTGGTGCCCGCCTCGGTGCTATTGAAGCAGACATGGCGAATGTGAAGCACGTTGTTGGGAGGACTCGCGACATATGCGACGGGATGGCCTCAACGGTTACGGCCATATTTGGCGACTCAAAACAGTCGCGTGACGTGCCGGTTCCTTCTGAAAATTGTGCGGGTGATGCGGTTGTTGAGACTCCGATAGTTCGCCGCACCAAGAATAAGAGTTCCAGAGCGGTGCGCAAAGAGATTAAGTCCGACTACGTGGGCGTCGCATAGAGGCCGTGGAGCGGTCGATGGGTTGCAAGACTTGTGTGCGTTCCACAGAAAAACGGGCATCTGGTCATCGGCAGTGAGTTTGGGACCGAGCTAGACGCAGCGAGATCACTGACAGCAGGAGCACATGTGCTATTTGGTCCAGACGTCGGGCCAAGAGGGAAGATCGTACCACTGACAAATGTAGACAAGGCAAAATTGAAGGGATGTGACAATACCACTTCAAAAAGTTTTGCAGAAACCAACTCCACGAATCCTTGTTCTCTACTTCGACCAAAGCCCACGCCAGCATTGTAATCTTCTGGTTGTCGTCCAGTACCAAGGCAATCAGAAGGGTTGCGCGCTGTGCACTGATGAGGAACGCTCCATCCATAGCAACAACGGGGCGGCAAAAACCAAGCGCACCGCGAGAAGCAGACGGCTGTATGTACATGCGGTTGAAACAGCCGTCGACCATCTGAATCAAGAAGTTTCCATCCGGGTCTATCTCCCGGAACCTTTCAGCCAACGCGGGGAGCAACCTGAAAGACTCTTGCCAATCCCCGTACATCTCCTTATGGATTGCTTCACGCAGCCGCCATGCCTGCTTGTAACTGATCTGGAACTTGCTGTGGGACGTGAGAATCTGCTGCAAAATCATCGCCGAAATAAACGGTGCGCCACGAACAAGGTTGCCCCAAAGCCGCTTCATCACCTTCACACTGTTGGTGATGGCGTTTGCTCCTTGCTCTCGCTTGTACTTCTTGCAGACGTGTGATTCAGGAGGGGAGAGGGATGTTACCATCCAAAAGCCACCATGAACAATCTTGTTATAACTACACACCCAGGGACATATTGGCTTTTCTCCATACATGGCGGTTTTGCATTGGAGAATCATGTGCGCGTCCGCCACCTCCACAGTCGTGAATCCAAAACGATGATGCAACGCGTGGGCCTGCACAGCCTTGAGGGCCTTATCCCTCGAGGAATAGATACCACCTTGCCTCAATGGGGCATTATCCTTACGAGCTTTTGGTCGGCCACGGGCTACGGGGGGAACGTTTCTCATTTCCTCTAGAATGTTATTCGCAATCCGCTCGGCGCGTTCCTTGGGTTCCGACATGGCAGCTATTGAGGAGTAAAACGATAGTGGCGCAACTAATGGCTGAGCTTGGTACTTACGAGTAGACTAGACCACTTAGAAAGGGCCACCAAATCGGCCAGTGCAGTGAAGACGAAATGGACACAACCGTGAGTAGATGACTGAACAACCATGATGGCCTCGTTATTTTCGCGCAAATGTGATTTCAAACAGGGATTTATTTTCTGTGGCCTAGGGAAGGTCAGCAGCATGTCGACAGTGTGTGGACTACAGTCAATGTTTCCCGGAGCACCATGTTTGGGGAGGAAATGTGCGGACTCCTGGACAAAAACAGTTTTTGGAAGCAGCTGACTGTACCTCCAATTTTCAAAACCGATGGTTGAGCAGTCGTAGAAGCTGGCATGTCGGGACACATAACGGGCCACAGAATGGGTGCTAGTACACGAAAACCAAAGGGGAAGAGACATAACCGTGTAACCACGAGCGATATGATGCACAGAGACATTTTTTCCCTACCACGTCTGTATTCATGGACAGAAGAACCCACTTGGACGCGAGAATTTGGGTGCTGCACCAGCTGCAGCCCACACTTTTTGCTCCAATCCAAAACTGTTGCTGCAGTTGGGAAGCTTGGTGCGAAGTGAACCAGTCACGTCTGCACTACAACCCATGTTTTTTCTAACGAAGGCAATCAACCCTGATGCAGTGTCCTTGTTATTTAACAATAAATACGCCATCAGGGTAAATGCTCGTTCTTGAATACAAATACAAGTCAATGCCTAATCTAAAATTTACTGGGATACTGTAAGTGAAGCATTCTTTTGTGCATAGGTGAATACGTACTATAGTATCTTTAGCATTCTTTGCAGACATCCAGGGAGTAGAAATTTGGTGGTAGCACATACGAATATTGTCATTACCTGATTTTTTTCTGGAACCACCACAAATTACCATCTGCCTGCTAGATTCAAGAACCCCGTGAATCCCATTGATTGAGGGAAATAGAAAATGCTATACATTCAAACAAATTGCCGGTTATACACAGAACACCACGTATGATTGTAATATGCGATACTGCAGGCAGTTCACATGTTTCCCCCTATAGTCTACGGTATCAAGAAGGCAGTCAGTAAGTCAGTAGGGTCAGGAGAGTGCCCGAACACCGCTGCAAAAGCGGGTAATTCAGTCGAGCGGGGTCATTACTCGGATATGGACGTCACCCAGCTGAAGTCATCTGTGACTTTAAATCGAGGAGGCAGGAAGGGTGAAACGGCCACATCCAGGTTTGAGTCGGGGAGTGCTGGGAGGTCGGTGTTAGGGCGTGATGCGAGGGACTGTTAAAAGGTGCCTTTCAGGTAGGTGCCTCAGAGGGGTAAGAAGGTGGCAACGGTTATGGGAATTGGAGTGTAGGAAGGTTGGTGCTATGGGCGTGATGTGAGGGAATGGAAGGCAGGGTTAACTCTTATGGGGAGGTGATAGGGGTGAAAGGGTTGGATCCAGATTCAAGCTGTGGTATGGGGTGTAAGAAGGCAGGTGCTGAACGTGTGATGTAAGCGCGTGAGGAGAGGAAGTGGAAGGCGGGGTTATCTCTAAGGGAAACTGGTAGAGGGTTCAAGCTGTGAGATGGGGTGTTTATAAGACAGGTGTTGAGGGTGTGATGGGAGGGAGTGGATGGCTGGAGTTAAGCGCGTGAGGAGAGGAAGTGGAAGGCGGGGTTATCTCTGAGGGGAGGCGGCACCGGCAGCACTGCAATGTCAATGCCCTCCATGCTGCGAGCAAAGTCGTCTGGACCAAAGGGGATACTGCGTGGAGACATGAGACAGGGGAGGGTGGAGGGGGGAGAGGAGGGGAAGCAAGAGGGAGGGCTTGGGGCCAGGAGGAGGCGGCACCGGCAGCACTGCAATGTCAATGCCCTCTATGCTGCGAACAAAGTCGTCCGGGCCGAACGGAATACTGGGTGATGACACGAAGAGGGGAGGGGGGTGGGAGGGGAGAGAAGGGAATGTGGAAGAGGAATAGGCAGCATGCAATGTCAATGCCCTCTATGCAGCAAGCAAAGTCGTCAGGGCCGAACGGGATACTGAATGGTGACCCGCAGCACTGCAATGTCAATGCCCTCCGTGATTCGAGCAAAGTCGTCAGGGCCGAATGGGATACTGCGTGGCAGAACGGAAAGGGGGAGGGTGGGTGAGGGGAAGGGGAGGAAAGAGGAGGGGAGGGCATGGGCCATAAGGGGAGGCACCGGCAGCACTGCAATGCCAATGCCCTCCATGCTATGAGCAAATTCATCAGGGCTGAAGGGGATACTGCATGGGAATGTGAAGAGGGGTGGGCATGGGCCACGATAGGAGGTCAAGGAGTGTATTGGTGTGTGTGTGTGTGTGTGTGTGTGTGTGAGAAAGGGAAGCACCTCATCCCCTCTCCTCACCTCGACTCATCCCTCATCCTCAACCCTCACCTCAACTAATCCCCTGTCTTCTCACCTCGAATCATCATCCAGCAGGAACGAGCCGGTGGCAGCCGGGCTCCGCGCCTCCTCGCTCATTCGTGCGCGCATCATCTGAATAACCCCTTCCTTCCCCCTCCCCTCACCTCGCCTCATCCCGTCCATTCACCTCATCTCGAGTCATCATCCAGCAGAAACGAGCCAGTAGCAGCCGGGCTCCTTGCCGCTCGCTCATTCTAGCGCGCATCATCTGAATGACCTGTGTGCTGACGGTGCGCGTGCCGTACTTGCCACTTATCACCTCCCCCTTCATGCATCAGCCCATCGTGACTCCCAATCCCCTCTCCCCTCTCTTCTCACCTCGAGTCATCATCCAGCAGAAACGAGCCAGTGGCAGAAGGGGTCCGCGCCTCCTCGCTCATGCGGGCGCGCATCATCCAAACAACACCCTCCTTCCCCCTTCATACCACCACAATGATTCCCATCACCCCTCATCTCCCGTCCCCTCACCTCGAATCATCATCCAGCAGAAACGAGCCGGTAGCAGCGGGGCTCCGCGCCTCCTCGCTCATTCTAGCGCGCATCATCTGAATGACCTGCGTGCTGACGGTGTGCGTGCCGTACTTGCCATCCCAGTACATGGTTGCAATGCGATACAGCTGCTGCGTTGAGAGAGACGGACAGAGAGTTGTCACGATCTCCTCCAGACTCTTTTTAGGCTTCTGATGCAGCACCTGGGGAGGGCGAAAAGGGAGGGGGGAGAGGCAGAGATGAGAGCATGTTTGAGGAGCACGAGAAGCCGTGCCGTGCTGACGGTGTGGGTGCCGTACTTGCCATCCCAGTACATGGTCGCGATGCGGTACAGGTGCTGCGTCGATAGAGATGGGCAGAGTGTGGTTACAATCTCCTCCAGGCTCTTTTTTGGCTTCTGATGCAGCACCTGGAGGGGGGGAAGGGGGTAGGAGCATGAGAAGCAGTGCTGACGATGTGTGGGTGCCGTACTTGCCATCCCAGTACATGGTTGCGATGCGATACAGCTGCTGCGTTGACAGCGACGGGCAGAGAATGGGTACTTGACAATCTCCTCCAGGCTCTTCTTGGGCTTCTGATGCAGCACCTGGGGTGGCGGGTTGAGGGGAGGGGAGGCGGGTGTGGGAGGGGATAGCACTGGGTTACTTGACTACTGCGTTGACAGCGACGGGCAGAGAATGGGTACTTGACAATCTCCTCCAGGCTCTTCTTGGGCTTCTGATGCAACACCTGGGGTGGCGGGTTGAGGGGAGGGGGGAGGAGAGGGGGAGTGTAGGACGGGAATGGCAGTGTATTCTTAACTTCTGAGTTGACTCGAGCGACGGACAGCGAGTCATTATGTTCTCTATAGACTCTTCTTTGACTTCTGGTGCAGCACCTAAAGGGGGGAGATGGGGGTGGGTTGCAGGAGAGCAGTGGGTGAGTGAGGGAGTCAGAGGAGACAAGCTTCTGAGCTGACTCTTCTTCGTTGAGGGTGGTCGGCACAGTGTGGTCACATTCTCCTATAGACTCTTCTTTGACTTCTGATGCAGCACCTGGGGTTAGGGGGGTGATGGGGGTGAGGTGATCGGAAAGCGGAGGCAGTGGGAGAGAGGCAAGGCAGAGAGATAATTTCTGAGGTGCCTTGACATGTTTTTGTACAGGTTCGTCTAGCTTCTCCTACAGCCGTGCCTTCACCCACTCACTCGGTAACTCAGTCACTCGTCCACTTCATCAGTCACTCACTTATCATTCTCGCACTCAATCACTCACCAGAAACCCTACAGCCTGAGTGATACTCCTCAGCTCCTCCCACGCGCGCCCCATGCTCTCCTCCCCCGCCTCTCGCATCCACTGCTGCACCTCTTGCAACCCCGCCTTCACATACTCCCCGTTGCTCAACGAACAGCACTCACGGCGGAGCAGTAAGCTGAAGAGAAAGGGATGGGGTGGGGTTGGACGGGGTGGGACGGGGTGTGGGGGTGAGGAGAAAGGGAGGAAGAGTGGGAGTTGGAGGCTGCACCTTCTGCAGCCCCACCTTCACACACTCTCCGTTGCCCAGCAGCCAGCACTCACAACGGGGTAGTAAGCTGACGCAAAGGTGGACGAAAGGGGGAGAGAGAAAACTGTATTCTTGCAGGCCCACTTTCACGTAATCTCTGTAACTCAATGAGCACCACTCATTTGAACCTTAAACTCACGACGGATGAAGCTGAAGAAAAATTAGAAGATTTGGTCCTGTTCCTTCACCCACCTGTTGAACAGCTAGACGTTGATGAAGTCGAAGACATGGGCTAGTATTTTCCGGATGAGAAACCGCATGGCATGCTTTGAGGCGTCCCAAAACAAACCCTTGTATCTCCCACATACGCCCTCATCCAACCCCCCCACCGCGCTCATCTGTTGAAGAGCTGTACGTTCATCAACGTACATTTTTTAAGCGCCGCAAAAATAGCTGTACGTTTATCAACGTACATCTTTCTAATCAACAGCCAAGAGGTGCCTTTAAAGCTTTAGTACCACCCTCTCCCTCCCACCAACCCCCACCTGCTAAAGAGCTGAACATTGATGAAGGAGGATGATGAAGACCCGCTGCCTGCTGTTTCAACACCCTATCTCTTCCATTCTTTCAGTCACATGCTTCCCTCCCTCCACCCCTCACCTGTTGAAAAGCTGAACGTTGATGAAGGAGAAGACCTGAGCGAACATCTTGCGGATGAGGAAGGGCGACACATGGTTGCCCTTGAGCGTCGCGAGCAGTGAGGAGAGCGACGCGATGATGGCATGCCACGGGCTTGGTGGGGATGATGACGAGGGGCCACTGCCTGCCGCGCTGCTAGGAGAGGAAGATTGCCGGCCGTATGAGGAGCGGGAGACGCGTGGAGCCTGGTAAGTGAAGGAGGGTGGGAAGAAAACGCGCATGTGTAACTGAATTGCGCAGCGCCAATTGTTATATAGATTACTACTGCCTAGCCCCAATCCCCGACGGTCACCCACCAGAGCGCTCACAATCAATCACACCCCTTACCTCAATGCCGTTCACAATCAATCATACCCCTTACCTAAATGCCGTTCACAATCAATTACACCCCTTACATCAATGCCGTTCACAATCAATCACACCCCTTACCTAAATGCCGTTCACAATCAATCACACCCCTTACCTCAATGCCGTTCACGATCAATCACACCCCTTACCTTAATGCCGTTCACAATCAATCACACCCCTTACCTCAATGCCGTTCACAATCAATCACACCCCTTACCTCAATGCCGTTCACAATCAATCACACCCCTTACCTAAATGCCGTTCACAATCAATCACACCACTTACCTCAATGCCGTTCACGATCAATCACACCCCTTACCTCAATGCCGTTCACAATCAATCACACCCCTTACCTCAATGCCGTTCACAATCAATCACACCCCTTACCTCAATGCCGTTCACAATCAATCACACCCCTTACATCAATGCCGTTCACAATCAATCACACCCCTTACCTCAATGCCGTTCACAATCAATCACACCCCTTACCTAAATGCCGTTCACAATCAATCACACCCCTCACCTAAATGCCGTTCACAATCAATCACACCCCTTACCTCAATGCCGTTCACAATCAATCACACCCCTTACATCAATGCCGTTCACAATCAATCACACCCCTTACCTCAATGCCGTTCACAATCAATCACACCCCTTACCTAAATGCCGTTCACAATCAATCACACCCCTTACCTCAATGCCGTTCACAATCAATCACACCCCTTACCTCAATGCCGTTCACAATCAATCACACCCCTTACCTAAATGCCGTTCACAATCAATCACACCCCTTACCTCAATGCCGTTCACGATCAATCACACCCCTTACCTCAATGCCGTTCACAATCAATCACACCCCTTACCTCAATGCCGTTCACAATCAATCACACCCCTTACCTCAATGCCGTTCACAATCAATCACACCCCTTACCTCAATGCCGTTCACAATCAATCACACCCCTTACCTCAATGCCGTTCACAATCAATCACACCCCTTACCTCAATGCCGTTCACAATCAATCACACCCCTTACCTCAATGCCGTTCACAATCAATCACACCCCTTACCTCAATGCCGTTCACAATCAATCACACCCCTTACATCAATGCCGTTCACAATCAATCACACCCCTTACCTAAATGCCGTTCACAATCAATCACACCCCTTACCTAAATGCCGTTCACAATCAATCGCACCCCTTACCTCAATGCCGTTCACAATCAATCACACCCCTTACCTAAATGCCGTTCACAATCAATCACACCCCTTACCTCAATGCCGTTCACAATCAATCACACCCCTTACCTCAATGCCGTTCACAATCAATCCCACCCCTTACCTCAATGCCGTTCACAATCAATCACACCCCTTACCTAAATGCCGTTCACAATCAATCACACCCCTTACCTAAATGCCGTTCACAATCAATCACACCCCTTACCTAAATGCCGTTCACAATCAATCACACCCCTTACCTAAATGCCGTTCACAATCAATCACACCCCTTACCTCAATGCCGTTCACAATCAATCACACCCCTTACCTCAATGCCGTTCACAATCAATCACACCCCTTACCTCAATGCCGTTCACAATCAATCACACCCCTTACCTAAATGCCGTTCACAATCAATCACACCCCTTACCTCAATGCCGTTCACAATCAATCACACCCCTTACCTCAATGCCGTTCACAATCAATCACACCCCTTACCTCAATGCCGTTCACAATCAATCACACCCCTTACCTCAATGCCGTTCACAATCAATCACACCCCTTACCTCAATGCCGTTCACAATCAATCACACCCCTTACCTAAATGCCGTTCACAATCAATCACACCCCTTACCTCAATGCCGTTCACAATCAATCACACCCCTTACCTCAATGCCGTTCACAATCAATCACACCCCTTACCTCAATGCCGTTCACAATCAATCACACCCCTTACCTCAATGCCGTTCACAATCAATCACACCCCTTGCCTAAATGCCGTTCACAATCAATCACACCCCTTACCTCAATGCCGTTCACGATCAATCACACCCCTTACCTCAATGCCGTTCACAATCAATCACACCCCTTACATCAATGCCGTTCACAATCAATCACACCCCTTACCTCAATGCCGTTCACAATCAATCACACCCCTTGCCTAAATGCCTTTCACAATCAATCACACCCCTTACCTCAATGCTGTTCACAATCAATCACACCCCTTACCTCAATGCCGTTAACAATCAATCACACCCCTTACCTAAATGCCGTTCACAATCAATCACACCCCTTACCTCAATGCCGTTCACAATCAATCACACCCCTTACCTCAATGCCGTTCACAATCAATCACACCCCTTACCTCAATGCCGTTCACAATCAATCACACCCCTTGCCTAAATGCCGTTCACAATCAATCACACCCCTTACCTCAATGCCGTTCACAATCAATCACACCCCTTACCTCAATGCCGTTCACAATCAATCACACCCCTTACCTCAATGCCGTTCACAATCAATCACACCCCTTACCTCAATGCCGTTCACAATCAATCACACCCCTTACCTCAATGCCGTTCACAATCAATCACACCCCTTACCTCAATGCCGTTCACAATCAATCACACCCCTTACCTCAATGCCGTTCACAATCAATCACACCCCTTACATCAATGCCGTTCACAATCAATCACACCCCTTACCTCAATGCCGTTCACAATCAATCACACCCCTTACCTAAATGCCGTTCACAATCAATCACACCCCTTACCTCAATGCCGTTCACAATCAATCACACCCCTTACCTCAATGCCGTTCACAATCAATCACACCCCTTACCTCAATGCCGTTCACAATCAATCACACCCCTTACCTAAATACCGTTCACAATCAATCACACCCCTTACCTCAATGCCGTTCACGATCAATCACACCCCTTACCTCAATGCCGTTCACAATGAATCACACCCCTTACCTAAATGCCGTTCACAATCAATCACACCCCTTACCTCAATGCCGTTCACGATCAATCACACCCCTTACCTCAATGCCGTACACAATCAATCACACCCCTTACCTCAATGCCGTTAACAATCAATCACACCCCTTACCTAAATGCCGTTCACAATCAATCACACCCCTTACCTCAATGCCGTTAACAATCAATCACACCCCTTACCTAAATGCCGTTCACAATCAATCACACCCCTTACCTCAATGCCGTTCACAATCAATCACACCCCTTACCTCAATGCCGTTCACAATAAATCACACCCCTTACCTCAATGCCGTTCACAATCAATCACACCCCTTACCTCAATGCCGTTCACAATCAATCCCACCCCTTACCTCAATGCCGTTCACAATCAATCACACCCCTTACCTAAATGCCGTTCACAATCAATCACACCCCTTACCTAAATGCCGTTCACAATCAATCACACCCCTTACCTAAATGCCGTTCACAATCAATCACACCCCTTACCTAAATGCCGTTCACAATCAATCACACCCCTTACCTCAATGCCGTTCACAATCAATCACACCCCTTACCTCAATGCCGTTCACAATCAATCACACCCCTTACCTCAATGCCGTTCACAATCAATCACACCCCTTACCTAAATGCCGTTCACAATCAATCACACCCCTTACCTCAATGCCGTTCACAATCAATCACACCCCTTACCTCAATGCCGTTCACAATCAATCACACCCCTTACCTCAATGCCGTTCACAATCAATCACACCCCTTACCTCAATGCCGTTCACAATCAATCACACCCCTTACCTCAATGCCGTTCACAATCAATCACACCCCTTACCTAAATGCCGTTCACAATCAATCACACCCCTTACCTCAATGCCGTTCACAATCAATCACACCCCTTACCTCAATGCCGTTCACAATCAATCACACCCCTTACCTCAATGCCGTTCACAATCAATCACACCCCTTACCTCAATGCCGTTCACAATCAATCACACCCCTTGCCTAAATGCCGTTCACAATCAATCACACCCCTTACCTCAATGCCGTTCACGATCAATCACACCCCTTACCTCAATGCCGTTCACAATCAATCACACCCCTTACATCAATGCCGTTCACAATCAATCACACCCCTTACCTCAATGCCGTTCACAATCAATCACACCCCTTGCCTAAATGCCTTTCACAATCAATCACACCCCTTACCTCAATGCTGTTCACAATCAATCACACCCCTTACCTCAATGCCGTTAACAATCAATCACACCCCTTACCTAAATGCCGTTCACAATCAATCACACCCCTTACCTCAATGCCGTTCACAATCAATCACACCCCTTACCTCAATGCCGTTCACAATCAATCACACCCCTTACCTCAATGCCGTTCACAATCAATCACACCCCTTGCCTAAATGCCGTTCACAATCAATCACACCCCTTACCTCAATGCCGTTCACAATCAATCACACCCCTTACCTCAATGCCGTTCACAATCAATCACACCCCTTACCTCAATGCCGTTCACAATCAATCACACCCCTTACCTCAATGCCGTTCACAATCAATCACACCCCTTACCTCAATGCCGTTCACAATCAATCACACCCCTTACCTCAATGCCGTTCACAATCAATCACACCCCTTACCTCAATGCCGTTCACAATCAATCACACCCCTTACATCAATGCCGTTCACAATCAATCACACCCCTTACCTCAATGCCGTTCACAATCAATCACACCCCTTACCTAAATGCCGTTCACAATCAATCACACCCCTTACCTCAATGCCGTTCACAATCAATCACACCCCTTACCTCAATGCCGTTCACAATCAATCACACCCCTTACCTCAATGCCGTTCACAATCAATCACACCCCTT